TGTAGTTCTTCCGATGCAGTATTTGTAGTCATTGAAATGCAACATTTGTAGTTCTATAAATGTAGGATTTGTGTATATTTACTTAACATAAATCCATTAATAAAACATGTTAAAGCCTCATTGAGTGGATGACCTCGCGGTTGGGTCGCGCCTCATGTGTGGAGGCTGTGGTCCTCCAGGCAGGCAGCCCGGGTTTGGGTCCCATCTGTGGCTCCTTTCTATGCATGTTGTTCCTTACTCTCTCCCGGTTTCCTACTCTGTCCACCGTCCTATCGATATTTTACTGTCCTATCGAATGGTGGCAAAAAGCTCTCATTAGATAGGACAGTAAAATATTTTGTATGTTACCTCCAAAGAGAACATAATAAACATTCTCACACAAAAAAAATTAAATAAAAATCATCTGCTGTGCTATACAGAACCACCATGTTGACCCATTTTCAGTTAAAACATGACACAACGTCAAGGATAGAAATCCATTCATGAAAAAAAAAAAAAAACACTTTGATTTCATTCCCCGTCTGATAGAAACCACCTTTTTCAGTCTTCACCTTCTTGCATCTTTGAGGTACAAAAAAGAAGAAGTGAAAAGTGGATTTGCTGAGGTGAGAGCTGAGTGTGCTTATGATTTAGCATTGTGGCAATTTCTATTCCCCTATGAGTCATCTCTGCACACCTACAGATGTGTCCTCGCCTGTCTCCCTCGCTCTTTTTCAAGGCCATTAGCCAAAAATGTAGTGCAGACACACACAGACGTACACCAAATGAGCCCACAGAGCCAGATGTTGTCACAGGGAAAATTACAAACTAAGCCCTAATTTATTCATCTCCTCTCGGACCAGGACAGGGATCTGTTGGAGGGAGGTAACCTGAGGAGGACACACAAAAATGTTGCTGCTCGCGCTGTGCTGGAAGAAGGGCAGGCAGGTGCTTTCTATGCACCGTGCATGTGTGTGTGTGTGTGTGTGTGTGTGTGTGTGTGTGTGTGTGTGTGTGTGTGTATGGTGTGTGTGTGTGTGTGTGTAGAGAGAGATTTGAGAAGTAATTTCCTGCATGACACATGAAACACTTCCAATACAAAACACATTTTCTGGATTTATTTTGTTTGGGTTCATATCTGCCATCAAAAGAGAAACAAAGAAGACTGATCTGCATCATATGTACGGTTTAAGGAATGTTTTCTTGCTTTATTGAGAGAAAAAAAGTGAAATACCTCCAGAGAACCAGTACAGTGTCATGGTAATGTTTGAAATGCCCCCTTTTCACCTTTTTTTTTCTCAGCACAGAGACATTAATAATATCAGGACCAATAAGGAGCAGGTGCTGATGACAACACCTGGCCTGTTGTTTGTGTTTGTGTTTCTGTTAATGGCCACCCACCACCTTTCGTGTGTTGTCTCCATTTGTCAGATGGTATCAGTGTTAATTAGACGGAGCGGCAAAGAAACAGAGGTGCAGGGAACAAAGAAGCCAAAGAATCTAATTAGCATCAGCAGTTTAATAGTATAATCCATATTGTCTTTAATTTCTTAACTTCATCTCCACAGCTTTACAAGAGGAAAACAAGAAGCCTGATTGCTTTTTTTTTTTTTATCATCGAATTTTCTTTCCTTTTATTTTTTTTACCGTTCTTTTTTCTGTGTTTTTCCATTTCTCTTCTTTAAGTTTATCTACCTAGTATTTATTTCGAGCGGTGGCGTTTAAAAGATGCAGGTGATGTGATCTAGTTGTTGGCTCACCTCCAGCAGCTAATGACTTTCCCTCTATGCGTCCAGCTACGATTGCATTGCAAGCACCTAAAACAACCTCACACACTTTCCTCGTTGGCAGGTAGCTTCGGGAATTTAAATCACAAATCCTCCAGAAAACTCACACAGGAGGATGCAGCTGAGCTTGAACATCTGAGCACAGGTTTATTTTCTGCCATCTCATCTCGCCGTACATAATTGCAGGTTTTGATATTGCATCGTTAAGAACGCTGTAAAATCACAATACTCACAAGAGACCCCAGGATGTGTTGATTAAAGCCTTTGTGGTGTAGATACACTTTTAAATCAGAAATATGATTTCATCTTGTATCGCAAAACGGGCTTTATTACATTTGCTGACAGCTTTGTATCTGAATAAAAAACACCTGGAAGAAGACGCTGCTCTGACGCAGAAGCAAGAAAAGTATTTGTCAATTTCCTTTCCACTACATTCCTTTTGTGAGCCAGAGCTGTCACGTCGACACGCTGCAGAAGAAGCAGATACACACCTGAGAAATGTCAAATTTAAAGTCCCAAACAGCATTTTTCTGTCAATTTAAAGCTCTTGTTGGGTTGTGGTGATTTTGGCGCCCCCTGTGGAGAAAGCAGTACCTCTTATCTCTTCGCTAATTCTTTCCTGTACATCATGTTTAAGTCTACTTTTTTGTTTTAAACAAGGAAATCTTATCCGGCTTTCGCCATTGAAAAAAATGCTGTTTTTGCATTGTGCTGTTACTCACCTCATCCCGACACCTACCCCACAGCAGTGTTTACAAGCATTACCAATAACTATATAGGAATAATCAGTTTTGTCACTGATGGTCTTGTTTGGTTTTGTAGGTCATTAAGAGCCATAAGAATTAATTTCAGACTGTTTCATAACTGGTTAAAAACTCCTCATGGGGGCTTTAATTCCCCCAAAAGCAGCAGCTCACTGATCACAGCCTCCCCTCTGGAATCACAAAGAGACCACTGACCCATCCTCTAATGGCCTCATTTAGAAAATGATTCATCAGATTTCTGCATCACACTTAAATTTTTACAAATATCCTTTTTTTTTTTTTTCATCTGAACCTGCAAACGAAGTGCAGATCCAGAACTTTCCCTGTAATTGTCATTAGTGGAGCCATAGGATCAGTGTGTCCCTTTTTAATCTGGATTTATTACATAAGGTGGCTCTTGAGTCTCTGTTCTGTCTGCAGCCTTTGTCCTCTCTGTTAATCCTGTTGCACCTCTGCATAATCATTATTAGATTGACCATCTTTTCTTGTCTTTCTCTCACTGCACTGTCTCTCATCTGACTCATGCTTTAACCTCGACCTGAACTACTTCTATACCTAACCCCTCATAAACCTTGTGCCTTCCTTTGCCCACAAACTTTTCTCAGCAGCTCACAAGCAGACAAACTTGACTTGTTTAAAAAAGTAAAGCAAGGATTAACCCTATCACTGGATGTTTGGTTAAAGACAGTTCTATGGAGTAGATATAGGCATGATCACTCTTTTATTCTTAAAGCCTTAGACCAATTACAAATTTAGTTTTTATTATTATTGAAAGAGCATTACATGATTTTGCTTTGTTTACTTTGCTCCTTGACTCTTTGACCTTCTGTAATTTAGCTTTATCCGAGCATTACTTCCCTCTTCTTTATGCAGGCAACAGACTTTAATTCATACACAGCCATAAGACTTTGCAAACATTGGAGAAACTTGAGTCTCTGCTGTTGTGCGCTCTCTCTCTGTTTTCAGCCCACACAGGGGGCGTCAAGCTCACAGTTTTTCTGGGGTCGTCTAAAGAATTTTTAGGAAAAAGTAAGAAATCATACACTGAAATGACACTCTTCATCACAAACTACCCTTTTTCAAATAGCCTATTCACCCTGCTGATTCAAGGCGTGATATTTAAGCCCCTGTGACTTTTCCGACTTCACCACGAATGTCACAGAGGCGTAATGAAGAGGTGAAGAGAGATTTTCACTGTTGGTATGACGCCAGTTGGGCATCAGGGGGCAGGACATGACGTAAAAGGGCACTGCAGAGGAGAGAAGCGCATCAAAGTCCACCAGTTTCTGTCTTTATATCAATGCTATAAGTAATATGAGGTCTTCAAAGTATCAAGAAAAGAGGAAAATAACATGTTGGGGAGCAGAAAAGAGTATGAAGCTGCTTTATTTAGTACGTGAAGATTGAACCAGTAACGCAGAGGTCAAAGGACATAAACATAATCAGCCCCTCCCACTCGGTTACATCGACTTTTCCTAAATATAATCTACTGCATTCACACATTGGCTCACCCTGACCTCTTCCAGAATTTTTTAAGGCCTGGCAGGCTTTTTTATTTATATATATATATATATAAATACATCGTGAATAATGTGTCAGCTTGAGTTCACACATGTAGATATGTCAGAAACTTTTTTAGGAGTTTTCTGCATGTGTAAATACTTTAATATTGAAGGTGGCACATATATATTATAATCACTTTCTTTTATGTTTTCTTTGACTGTAATCACTCCACTCCACTCATGTATGAAACAGTGACAGAGCCGACAGATTTCATTTTAATAGAACTTGAACTGAAAAGACATCCAATAGTAACCTGATAAAACTCTTACCATCGTTTTTACTTTTTCTCTATGAAATTATATGTTTTTTTTGTAGCTTCATCAAAAATGTCCTTTATTTTCTTGTAATGATACTGTAATTAATAAGAATATTTTACCACATAAACATTTATTTACAGTGAACTCAGCCTCTGGTCTACTCTATCTAGCTACAGTTAGGACAGATGCTTTTCACTTGAACAAACTCTAATTTCTCATTAGGGGTCCTTGACAATTTTGAAAAAGGTTCCTCTCTCGCCCTCTGTTCAGGCACACTCAAACAAAAGTAAAGGACTCTTGTTGGAATGCTATAGAGAGGAGAGGTAGAAAAATAAGCCCCAACCACCATACACAAACTCACTCTTTCATATATCCTACTTGTGAGAAGTACTTTTGTAAAACCATGGCAGGTAACTGAGGTGTTCCAGGGAGTTCTCCAAAGAGAGAGAGAGCGAGAGAGAGAGAGAGAGAGAGAGAGAGAGAGATGGGTGCTTAATCACCCATGCTGCAGTGTGTGTGTGTGTGTCTCTGTGTTTTGTGTGTGTGTGTACGTGTGCGCGTGCGTGTGTGTGTGTGTGTGTGAAGTCACTCAGGTCTTGTATCTGGACCGGGTGATCCCTGCTCTCTCATATTTCTCGTGTGGCTCGCGGACTCTCAGCGGACTCTCAGCGGACTCTCAGCGGACAGTCTCCCACAGTCAGCGGCTCTGTAGCCGCCTCTGGCTGGTCTCACCTCCGCGGATCGCCCCCCGGTGCCGACCCGTACCGGCTGCTCCCTGATTGTATCAACTGAATCACAGACACACACACACACACACACACAGAGGAGAGAAGGAGAAGAAAGAATGCGGCTGTGTTTCACTTTCTTTGCTTCCAGGGACCCGTGTATCTATCTCCCACATCTTCTGCTCGGATCTTTCTTTGTGGACGCTTTCTGCTGCGGCTGTGTGAGTACTGACGGTCGCTGTTGTTATCTTTTTCTTCCTCCTCTTGTTTTGCACAGCGAGCAGACACTGACAAAGATAAGATAACGTGACGCTAGATTTGAAGCGGAAAGAAGCACATGCCTGCTTTTTGACTTTTTTTTTCTTCTCTCAATCAGAAAGAGGCAATATGTTGTTAATAGATGCACTTCCATCTGAGTGTTTTTGTTCTGTCAGAGGGGCGTAACTGGATGTAGACACACAAAGGCAGCTGCATGAAGACAGTGTGCAGGGAGGATGCAGCGTTTTTACAGTTGAACTAAAACTGCCTTCACGTCTGCTGGGGAGTAAATTGAGTTGAAAGGAAAAAAAAACAGACCGCTAACCCAGTTAGGAACAGAGAAACAGCAACACAGAATATACAATACAATACAAGAAGATGAGCCCTTATTTGTCCTCTTTGCTTTATATTGGCTCAATGTAGCTCTATAGTTTGATTTGTCTCCCTTAACCTTTAGAATCTGCTTTATTGGACAGGTATGAGAGCACATGCATGGTTTTTACTCTGGATAACTTTGACCTAGATGTAAAAGCGTTAAAATATATATATATAAAATTATTAAAACTAATAGCCTACATAAGACAATAGTGCAGTGACAAGAAGTGCAAACAATGCTGGAAAAAACAGGATAATATGATATCATATGATAATGATATCAGACTTACAAGAGGTGGATTTATTTCACAACATTTCACTCAAAGCATAGTGTGCATAGGTTCATGACAGATGAGGGAATGAACCTGTTCACACCGTTTTTTCATTAAAGGATATTTTCACCTGAAATTTCAAGTAACGGGCTCCAAAAAAGCAAATTATGACTGTAACTTAATTGAAAAATATTCTTACTTCTAGGCTGAATTCCGGTTGCATAACTGCAGAATTATGGAGAGTTAAAGCACACCAAGCAGCCATCTCCAGCGGTTATGCATTATATATTAAGTTGGCCCAGTGCTGCACCTCCCACCCAACACTACTGTCAAAGCTCCTCTCCACTCTCTCTCTTCTTCTCACCTTACACTCTGACAGAATAAGCCCGGACTGAGGCAAACACACCAACATGGAGCATGTTTGTAAGTGTTTTAAAAGACTGTTGTGTTTCCAGTTATTGAGTGCACATCCTCTGTTTTTTTAGAGGGGAAAGAGAGAGAGAGAGAGAGAGAGAGAGAGAGAGAGTTAAAGCTCGAGTCTGCCCTCAGGCCTTTGACAGCAGAGAGATTTGTTGCGTGGATTGATGGATTGTTTGCGTTATGCAGCCATGTGATGTCAGGAGTGGCAGGAAGTCAATGCTTTTTGTTTTCTCCCTGTATGGCCGTGTAAGTGGGGGAAACGGAGCCAAAACAACAGGTAGATGTCTCACTTTGCATTTGTGTGACTTTAAATGAGGCAAACTGAGTTACTATATTTGATGCAATCAAAAATACATTTAGACTTTTACTTAAAAAAAAATAATTGCTCAAATGGTAAAGCAGTGAATGACATGATTATCCTCTGTAAGTCAGCGGTGTAGATCGGGTTACACTGCCATTCAGTGTTATGTAATGTCAACTCTCTTGTGACAAAGCTCCTGTTTGCACACTGGCTCTGTTGCTATCTTCCGTGTGTTTCCCATTTCCTCTTTTCCTCCCCAGCATCATCATCATCATCATCATCAGCAGCAGCAGCAGCAGCAGCAGCAGATGTGTAGAGAGACGCAGCTAATAGCAGTATCTTTTTCCACAGTGTACCACAGCCTGATGCCGAAATCCCTACATTCATGAGACGGCAACAGGAAGCAGATTACTGAGGGATTACACACACACACACACACACACACACACACTCAACAGCAGAGGAGCACAGTTCCTGGATTTGTCCGATGTCCAACTGTGGATCTCACACTCAATGAACTCGTCTGACTGACTGATTGAGACTCTCTCTCTCTCTCTCTCTCTCTCTCTCTCTCTCTCTCTGGTATCATGGAAGAAGAGGAGGAGCCAACTGAGCCTCATTGAATTAGATTCACATAACCCCACCTCCTCGTCTTCCTCTCCTCCTCTCCTGGCTCACAATCGAAGGCTTTGACTGGTCGATGAGGATTACGGATTTATGACAAACACAGCTGAGTGTGCGGAGAACGAAAGAGAGAGAGAGGAGTGTAGAGCCCAGTGTCCGCCTGCTGCTGTCCCATGATGCATCATCTACTCATGTGAGAGCAGGATCAGCCACACAGAGGGCTGTTACTATGGATACCCCTGCCCAGGGTAGTATTAATAAGACTCGCTGATATTCTGGCTATCTGTGCGTGAGAGAAAAGACACAGGGCGAGATTAGAGGTTCACGGCTGCTGCAGCGCACTACAGCCTCAAACAACATCAATGGAGCAGAGAGAGATGTCATCATTTAGCATGGAGAGGAAAAGTTGACAGGGAGAAAGAGTTATTTTTAGCCAAAAAAAACCAAAACAAAACGTTTTAAAAGACTTATTTAAACCTGCAGCAACATCACTGATCTACCCCCAGTTTGATTTATTTCAATGTTGTCTGCGTTTTGATTTGTTTGCTCAGATAGCCTTGTCCTAAAGACCTGAAACGTTGTGTTCAGAAGCACATTGACCACTGCTGGTTCAGTAAATGGATGATTCCATCAGACTCTGCCCACACAGAAACAGAAGTCAAGGATTATATGATGCACAAAGAAACTTCTGATGCCTGGAGGAAAAAGCTCGGTTTCTAACTTGCCTGCAAACATCATTCCCGTGCCCAAATTCTGCACAGAAAACGTATCCTCAAATTTTGGTGTGGCTCTCTTCAAATGCCAACACCAGAACAGTTCTGATACTGAAAGTTGTCCTTGTTTTAACCGGAACAGAAATCTTCATGCACCAGCTAGTCGGGGAAGAACAGGTCTATGGTAGAAGTTTGGCGATCACCAGCACAATGTAACATCCTGCAGCTAAAACAATAAATAAAAAGCACCTGCTGGGATCCATTAGACTCGAGGAATCTATTTATCATCCCTCCTAAACACCTCTAGAGTGGGCTATCATGGCCAGACACGACGCCCCCCTCTTCCCCCACGGCTTCGATCTGGGTGGCCACTTTGTTGACCTCAGACCCCTTGGCATGGGCGTCACAGGCCTGGTGCTGTCGGCCGTGGACCAGCGCACAGGGCAGCGAGTGGCAATTAAAAAGCTTGTGATGCGTGACGCCGTGACGGTGAAACACGCCCTGCGGGAGGTGAAAATCACCCGGCGGCTGCACCATGAAAACGTGGTGAGGGTTCACGAGGTTTTGGCACCGTATGGACGACCCCTGCCCAGAGACCCCACCCAGCTGAGCGCCCTGTACATCGTCCAGGAGTGCATGGAGACTGATCTGGCTCGGCTGCTGGAACAAGGGCCGCTACAAACAGGTAACAAGTGCACAAGATAGAAGAAGCACTAAAAGTTACATTTTTGAAACTATGTTGATCCTGCCTGCTGGTTATTTGCTGCAGTGCTGGCTGTGTTGACGTTGTGATTTACTGGATTTAGTGGCAGTCAGTTTGAGACCCTCTTTAAATGTGACATCATTCACATCCACAAAGCACACATTTGAGTTTCACATAACATTCTTCTCTTACTCAGCCCTTTTAGTAGCTTCCGTTTCATAAATCCTCCTTAAGTAGTCAAGTGAAACAAAACATTATGATATTGTAATAAATTACAATTTCCTAATTAAAAAAGACATTAAAGCTACTGTAAGGAGCTTTGGCTTCGTGTGGATGTTGGAGCCCCCTGCGGACAAAGTGGTATCTTTTATCTCCGTGCTGATTTGGTCTTGTATATGTGTGTAAGTAGTGTTTTCTGACAAAAGGAAAAAATCTCATCCTGCTGTCTTGTGACTAAAGTCAGACTAAAGAAAACAACAGGAGTTGAACCACAGTGCTTTACAGCAGACATTGTATAAGACACACTAATAAAAATAACAATCTGTATGGATGCTATTTAAAATAATGCATGGAAGTTTGAGAGTAAGAGAAGCGAAATAAATCAAAACAGATTTAAAAATCAAAGACGGAAACTTTAAAATACAAGCAAATTAATAGTGGAGCCAATGACTCAGCATGAATCCTCTCCATGGGCCCCTTTGGCAGGGTGCTGTTATTTACTTGGTATGACATCTAACCAGCGCTAGCATTTAAAGGCATTGAAAATAACTATAGAGCAATATTCAATCCTCTCCCTGATGATCTCCTTAGCTTTGGTAGCTCATAAAAAGGCATTCATATTACTTGACTTTTCTTTTTACTATAACCAGCTAAAAACTCCTCACAGGAGCTTTCACAAAACCTCCTTTAAACATTTGATTTTCATAGTTTGATCATGTTTTCTGTTTGAATTGTTATTACTGGATTTTGCTCTACAATGAAAGAACACAACCTCCACTACAGTGTACAGTGTGTGTTTTGCCTCTGCTATTATGGTTATCAAAACATGTAAACTATTTATGTTTATTCAAGTTTTTGGAGTAGTGTAGTTTTTTATTATTCACAAATTATAAGATCTGGATTTCACCTAAAATGTGCGTCCTTTACTCCTAATGTTTTGACATTTTAAAATGTGGATGGATAGTAGTCGATGAAGTACTAAGTTCACTCATTCAAACATATTTAAGCAGACACAGCAGTTAACTGATCTTTTGTACATGATGTATCAGTGTTAAGAGTGAGGATGAAAGTGGTGTGGTCTGTCCTAATATGAGTCACTTGACCTTGAACAGGTCACGCCACCCTGCTGTTCTACCAGCTGCTGAGGGGACTGAAGTTCATCCACTCGGCCAACGTCCTGCACAGAGACCTGAAGCCTGCCAACATTTTCATCAACACTGACCAGCTGCTGCTCAAGATCGGAGACTTCGGGCTGGCCAGGATAGTCGACCCTCACTACTCTCATAAGGTAAGCGAGCACAGGACCGGAAAGATTTCACGTCCTGAAAAATGAAGCCAATGCGGAAGTGCAAAATCCTGCAGTTTGTCGAGTGTCTGATTGAGGCTGGCTCCAGGAACCCCGAAAGTCACATACTCACCACAGCAGAAAACAAACATCATGTTTACAACCTGGTACAAAAAAATGAAATAGGTCTGATTCGTTATTGTCATCATGGGCACACACTGTACGGAGGGAACATTTTTTTAAACGGCTCTGTTTTGATTTTATAAACGATAGATGTTATCCATAGTTAGGCGCGTAGCTGACATGATTGACAGGTGGGCGCGACCAAACGGTTCGTCAAGAGGCTTAAACCCGCCTAATCTCCAGCTCTAAGCCTGTCGTTAGGCTGACTGAAAGTTAGGCTGACTGAAAGTTAGGCTGAGACAGGACTTCCAGCATGGCGGCTGCTGCTGCTGACCCTCCGCAGCCCCCTGCTGTAACGTCACTCAGGCTTTGTCGATTAATAGTTACAGCCTACAGTTTTAACCTTACAACGCTTTTTCAGGGTTATGTGCAGAAGTGCCGAATGCTCTTTTCCACTAAGGGCTAATGAATCCCTGTGATCATTATTCTCTTTAGGCTCATGTTCTCCATAACAAGTTTTATATTCATTTTATTATACATAATCTTCAGAGAACAAGCCAGCATCACATTTCAGATCCCAGTCCAAAAAACTTTTGGCTCCCCCGATTTTAGTCTTCTTTGATTCTTGTTCTATAAAGATTAATCCAACCATAAATATTCAAGTCAGCAGAGCAGAGGAGGATTTTTCACTCAGCTCATCGCTCTGACTCAGCGTGGGCTGTTGTGCTGCTGATGGATGAATCTGGAGAGAGTATTGTAGTATTAAACATTATCTCTGCTCCCTCCCTTTGAGGCAGAGCTGTTATCGGGGAATGGAGAGAGCAACTCCTCGAGCCCCGACTCTGTGTGCTTAGCAGACAGCAGAGTACAAACCTTTGAGCTCAAGTGTAAATGGATACACTGTAGGATAAGATCGTCAAAGGAATCCTCCTGTAGTTAATGAGTTTGTCTGCACGCAATCTTGTCTGCATTACAACCGATGCATGGATGGATTCATCTTTCCAGCTGATTTCCTCTGAGTGCAACATCTCAAATGAAGCCAATGCTGAAGTTCATAAAACTGCAGTTCCTCCAGTGTCCACTTGAGGCTGTCCTTAAAAACAGTGGAATCCCAAATAGTATTCAACAACAAGAACACAAATTCTTTCACTGGTCAGATAGTCCTAAATCTTGTTTTCATGATCTCTCATGCCAATAAAATAGCCTGTTTTAAGGTGAGTCTGTATTCCCATACCCACATGTCTGGTGTTAATGACCTTAATCTTTTACCAGAGACCACCTCTCTCCAACACCAACCATGCTCATGATGTCTTACCAAACCTGGTTTCAAGTTTTGTGCTAATCAAACCTATAATTATCCCGTCCATTGTAGATGAAAGCTTCTAAGAGATGAATGTGACAATTGACTGCTCCATTGTGCTGCTCTATTATGTATGAAGATCCCACTGCATTACTGTAACACTAGCAGGGCTGGATGTGTTTGTGTTTGTGTGTGCGCATGTGTGTGAGTGTGTGTGTGTTTGTTTCCGATTGCCGGCCCGTGCGTGTGGAGAGGAGCTCTGGTGAAAGGCGATCTTTGTCAGGCAGAACACGGGACCGGGGATCAGCTGGGTGCCGACACAGGAGGTGCGCTCGGAGAGGAGAAGAGGGGGAAGGAGGGGATGATGAGAGAGGGAGACAGAAAAGAGATGAGGAGAAAGGAGGGGGTCGAAAGAAAGCAAGGTGAACAAAACCAGATTCAGAGGAGGGGATACAAGAAGGAGGGGGAGCTGAAGTGTAAAGAGGAGAAACTGTATGAGAGGAAGAAGGAGGGGTGAAAGAAGAGATCAAACAGAGCAAGAGAGAGAGAGAGAGGGGAAGGAAGTTTGGACTGTGCAGGAGAGAGAGAGAGACAAGGTTTACTTCTTCTCCCTTGTTTGTGTTTGACAGACAGACAGACAGACAGACAGACACACACACACACACACACACACACACACACACACACACACACACACACAGACACACAGACACACACACACACACACACACACACACACACACACACACACACACACACACACACACACACACAGACAGACAGACAGACAGACAGACAGACACACACACACACACACACACACACACACACAGACACACACAGACACACACACACACACACACACACACACACACACACACACACACACACACACACACACACACAGACAGACAGACAGACAGACAGAGATAGGGGTCTAAGGACCAAAAGAGACCAACGGACAACAGAAAGATGATAAGGTCGGGATTCACAGAATGACTCACTGTACTTCATGATACAACATGATGTGACAGGATACGTTTTAAAACCAAGCGCTCTGATACAATACGATCCAAGAGGAAACAATATGCGATGCCTGGCCCATAAAAACGGTACATCATGATACATCAACTCACATGTTGCAAAACAACCATAGAATTATACATCACAATATCTGGTTATCTGAAGATTACAAACACCCCTTAAAAGGTAAAGTGCAGAATGTATTTATAACTTATTGATGGGGTAATGGATGACACAATAAAGTCTGTATTTTAGCTCCCACAGACAGTATTTTCCCTTCACTTGTGCTGCAGTATGAGCCTCTTTCTTTCACAGAGACTCAGAGCTTTGATAACAGGGGTGCATTAATAACCAATAAGAGTGCTGGCTGCCCATTACACTCCCTACTCTTTCAACTCACTGCTGATAGTCGGTCATCTGTCCCAGATGAAGTGTGTGTCAGCCTGCAGAACATCAGTTTGTCATTGTTCATTAGCATAAAATAGTGTTACCAAGGTTATGTGTGTTTGTGTGTGTTTGTGTGTGTGTGAAGATGAAGCTGGGCTTTTTTGCAGTGTTGACACTAAAGCAGATGCCTGCAGTGAATGTGCTAGCATCATCTCTCTTATTTAATAATGCAGAGCCAAAGAGCTGCATTTTCCAACATTTTGTGGTAACGGACGTGGGCTGTAATCTGACTTCTGCAGGGTTGTCTGGAAGTTTGTCTGCACACACACAGACATGAATTGATTGCATTTATTTACTCTCTAATGAAATCTACTTTAACTCCTCATTGTAGAGTATCTTAAAGATGGTCTACTCTAGATTTGATTCGATTTTTTTTAACCTTAACGGAACACAACCGGTTGGCAACATATGCATCTTCTGAGCTTGATTCTTCAAGAACTCATAGCGAAGATAAATGTTCAATTTGTCACAATTTAAAGTTTACACAAAATTAAGTGTTCCTCATTAAAATGCTACAAGCTATTAAGCAAAAAATAGTTGATTAAAACACAAGCCTGACAGCAAATGGCCAATAATAGTTTAGGACTTTGAGGTGGCCAATCAGATTGCAAGGTTAAACCAGGTCACCTCTAGCCACCCCCTTGGGTTCGCCCCTGCTCACATCATAGTTGACTGAGTTCAGGTTGTATATTATTCTGTTTGGCAGTAACATTTGAGGGTTTGGGTAACTATTTCTGACTGCTCACTGTTTTCTCCTCGCAGTCTTTCCTACGTTTACCTTTTCTTCTTCAGAAAGTCACACAGTTCATGTTGATTTTCAGCAGACTCTGACTCTACTCTGCATCAGTTTGAGGCTCTCTGAGGAGCCGTCGCAATGTGCTCCTCCGACTGCACCACCAAACATTTACTTTGAGATGCCGCAAAAAACATTATTTTGTGATGTTGTTCACAGTCAACACCAAAAAGATCTCTGAGTTTCTTTGAGTGTGTACTGCTGAATGTCACCTGCTGAGGCAGAGCTGGTTCTGCTCAGAAATTATTCATGACATGGATGAAGGACAGAGAGGAGAAAAAGGAGAGGAAAAGGTGAACGGGGAGCAGAAAAGAAAGAGAAAAGAGGGGATGAAATAGAAGGAAAGATACAGTAGGAGAGTACACTGTTGGAATTGTGACTGGAAAAAGGAGAGAGGGATGAGACAGGTGAGAAGGGAGGTGAAGTGAGAGAGAGACAGATGGGGTGAAGCATGAAGAAAAAGAGGGGAGGCAAGGGAAAAAGCCTTAGGAAAGTGGGTGATGATGAATGGAGGGGGGTAAGAAGAAGTTAAAGAAAGAGGGGGCGTGCAAAGTAGATTTTTTTTTAAAGAAAATAAGACCAGAAATATATTTATTTTTTCTGTTCAAACATATTTAAAAAAATTGTATTTATTTATTTATTTATTTATTTATTTAGATCACCAGGTTTTATGTAACAAGTCCACTCCTTGATATTTATTATCCATGTAATGATTTAGGATGCAGAAAGAAAAGCTCATTGGTTGAGAATTAACTACAAAAGAGGGGGAAGAGGGAGCAACAGGTGTAAGATGAGCTAAAGTGTTCGTCAGACTATCAGTGAGCACTCAGCATTAGGTTCTGCTCAGTCATCTGCTGGCACGCAGAGGACAACGGGGAGGAGGTGGATGGGTGGGTGGCAGAATGTAAGGTGCGCTGAGGGCAGAGGGGCAGGAGTAATTTAATGTATGAACGAAACCTGTCATTACATAACGAAACCATCCCGTCCGGGTTGAAGTAAGGGCAAGGAGCTGGAAGTGATGTATAAGTGGGATCTTTGCCGTGGGTGGCTCACAGTGAATAAAGGCTTTGAAGTCATGTCCTGAACCTGCTTATCAACAAAGAATTCACAGGAAGAAAATGTGTACCATCTTGAAATGCGAAGAGGGAATTAACTTAAGCGAAATGTAAAATCATGTTGAACCAGACTGAAATCATAAGAGAGGCTCTGTTCTGCTTTGTGATGATATTACAGGATGGTCTGTGATCATTTAATTGGTGTCAAAAAGGTTGCACTGAAAATGACACCGATTTTAAATGTGTGGGAACTCATCTATGCCTCAATACAACCCATTCTGTCTACATGGAATAAGCCTTGATGGTGTAATTCTGTGAGGAGTAACAGATATAAAGGGACAACCCTAAAAATATGTGTGCCATTTAGAAAAAATATCCATAGTCTCCCTATATATGAGGCAATATGCAGCGGTAAAATGTAATAGTGCATGGCAACAATCTAAAGTCATCTAAGATCATGACTGTGAAGAAGTTCAACAGCCTCGGGCAAAAGATTTGGGCTCAGGAGAGACACGAGACTAGGAAGAGAGAAGAAGTGATGAATTTAAGTGAGAGAGTAAAGTGATTACAGAGAGTGCGAGGTGGAGGGTCGTAAAAAAAAAAAACAAAGTGAGAAAATGATTGGTGGCAACAGGCAAATACATGTCATTACAGGTAAATCTGTTTTTTATGTTAATGCACTCCTCTGTAGCTCATTTCCATGCACATGCAGTGTCATCAGTGTTATTCCCAAGGTGAGAATTTGTGAAAGTGAAAGCAGGCTTGTATAGAGCAACCCTAACAAGAGGATTTGTGTTGTTATACAGCAGAGCATCACAGGCTCGGCGAACATCAGTACACCTGCAGAGATATTCTTCACTGCAGAGAAGCCACGTTCCATCCATCCTAGCCTAGATGACATGACTTGATTAAGTCTTTTTGGATGCAAATCAAATGCCTCCCAAGAGCGGAAGTTTCTTACTTGTGTAGCTATCTGACTTTACAATGTTTTTTTTTTTTAAAAAGCAACAAACTGCAGACTCTTTTGTAATAAATATGAGTAGTTGGAACACATCGTTCTCATGCAAGTGCTTCGGATTTATAAGCCAACGTGTAACAAGCCATTCTGTTGCATGCTCATCATCACTAATAAAACTTCTGTATATACCCACTTACTGCCTATGACTCACCTGTTCCTGCTTTTATTGCACTCATGCTGCTCGTCTGCTCCTCCAGGGCTATCTGTCTGAGGGTCTGGTAACTAAGTGGTACTGTTCCCCCCGTCTGCTCCTGTCCCCCAACAACTACACCAAGGCCATTGACATGTGGGCCGCTGGCTGCATACTGGCTGAGATGCTCACTGGACGCATGCCGTTTGCAGGTAAACCTCTTTCTCTTTGGCATACAGTCCCTGCTGCTGAAACACTGTTGGTATGCCCTCCATGCCCAGCAGAAACGTTGTGATATTTTCGATCATTAATTCAATGACAAAATGGAAAAATGATCGAATCATTAGTATTCAGCAGGATAATCTTACCACTCAGAGTCCTGCACGATCTTCCTGAGAACTGGCAGTTTTTCCATTCATTTTCTGGCATTTATGTTGATGTATTTTGGCTCCATTGAAGGACAGTGCATGTTAAAGATATGCAAAATAATTGAAATGAAATTCATTTTACGAAGCTTCTTGTTATGTGATCATAAAGATTTAACATGCAAACATTTTTAAGGGTGAACGTAGTAGTATGCACATAAATCAGCAGGTGAAACACTGTAAGCGGGCCTCTCTGACGTCTAAGTGGATACAGTATAGTCACACATTTTTTGTGTCGTCTGTTTACTTATGTAAAGTTCTGCCGAGCAGAGATGCTAAACAGGTGCTTAAAGTCTCCATCACGAGATGACATCCACTGAGAGCTGAGGAGAGTTTTTCTTTTGCAGAGTGTCCTCCTCCAAAGATCCTTTATTCTCTTTCTGCAGGCTACTTCTTTGCCTGACCAGAATAACAATGATGATAGAGAAAATCTGGCTGTCTGCAGCTGATGTAGTTCCTCCTGATAGGCCTGATGTGACCTCCACCAGCCCTCTACACCACATGAGACATGATGCTATAAACTCATAGCGTCATCTGTTCCCTGGTGTCCCTCTCTGCCAGACGTTCACACATTGGCTTTTAGACATGCTTGTCTTGCTTTTCACTTAGCAGCCAGAGTTTACATGGTGCATTATTTTGATGTTTACTGAGGTGGAAGCAACTCTCTCTCATCCAAGAACACTCCGCCTCTTGTTCCTCTCTTAGAAAAATGTGATAAAATAGCACCACCTGCTGGTTCTAAGTGACGTGAGGAAAACATTTAAAGGACAGTTCCAAACAATAAGGATTTTCACACATGAAGAGAACTCGTGGAAATTGCCTGAAGTTTTTGGGCTGAGCTGCATGTATGAACACAACGGCCACATTTTTGACCCCAGCTTCGTCCAGACCTTTTCAAGCCAGCCCCCTTATAAAATCTGTTAGAGTCAATGTGTTCAATCAACAGGAAATGTTCAGGCAAATTCACAGAGGGCAAGCCGGCTCGAGTGATGACATGTATGAAATATAAAAGTTCTATTACATGCACAGCAATCACATTCCCACCATTCATGTTACACTACAGTCACAGCTGACTGTCCTGCAGCCTAAAAGGTGCGAATGTGATAATCGTGCATGAAATGAAACTTTTTAAACTTCTCTTCTTGGCAATATTTTCTTTACCACTCATTCATTGTTACTGTGAATGCAATGTGAACTGATATAAAAACAGAACATTTTAATTATTTTGTTGTACTCTGTCCCTTTGTCAGCAACTTGGATTTCTGCAGAATGTTAGTATCTCCTGAGACCCCCTCCTGTCCAACAGGAAGGGGATAGGGACAGGTATATGGATAAGCAACTGTCAGGAGTGCATGTGAGAAAATGTTGCACTGCTTAAAGTCCATCTCTTTTCAAGCATGCTGCTCTTCTGGTTAAACCCAAAAGGAGGATATTTAAAATATTGATTTTCCTTGTCAGAACTTAAATGTGATTTCCCAGAGTTAAGCTTGACAGCCTCACATTCCTTCCAGGTGTTGTTCAACATATAATAAACAAAGCTATAATGTTCCAGTAGTTTGAAATTCGGTCCTAATTGGGTCAAGGTCTAACAATACTACATTAAGATAATATACAACCTGCAACTAGTGCTACCATACAAGTTTTGCTGTAGAAATAAAGCTCCTCTCTACTAGCCTCAGGATGGATTTACTCTTACATAAATGGATCAGTAATCAGAAGGGAAAGGGAAAATAAGTGACCAAAAATAGGATATTTTATGTGATTTCTGAAAATATAAAGCCATGTGTATATGTCATTATTTAAGCCAGGGGTTCCCAAACTTTTCAGGTCGTGACCCCCAAAATGAGGGTGACAGAAACTGGGGACCCTCCACTGTTCTTTAAGGTGGTTAGTTAGGTATATAACGTAGCCACAGCCACGCGCACACTAATAAACCTATCCAAAAACTAGGAACACAAAATAATACAACAGCCTAAAAACAATAAAAAATGTACACATTCATTTCACTTAATGATACTGTCTTATATGACATTGGACTACTTTTTGTATATTTACAAGAAATGGGTAAAAATATATACTGATGCACTTTTAAATTATTTTTAATTTTTTATGGAAAGCATCTCGCGACCCCCATCTTGGTGGCTGCGACCCCCCTAAGCTATATAATGATCATTTCTGCTCTAATTTTTCAATAGAAAACGTGCAGTGTTACATCCTATCTGCAGAATATTTTGAGCCCCCTTAACTGTACCATTTCTTTCACTTGACAGCTCAAAGCTCCTAGGTATTCCTGTTTGACTCTAATTGGTCACCTCTTCCTCTGCTTATGTAACCAATCCTCTGCTTGTGCTCCTCTCGCCTCTGATTGGTCGGTTTCCTCTCCCAGGAGCCCATGAGCTGGAGCAGATGCAGCTGATTCTGAACACGGTGCCTGTGCTGCGGGAGGAGGACAGACAAGACCTGCTACAGGTGACGCTTCAGTGACTTCTACTCCCATAAGTCTGTTTAAATATGGAGCAGGGTGTCGTCGTCATGTTCTGTTTGCTGCTCTAGACTTGACAAGTGTAGTCTGCAGTGCAGACGAGGTTAAATGTGAACACGACTCTTTCAAACAAGGGCCCTGTCTGTCTGTTGCTTTCAACCACAACTTCATATATAGCAGGAATCCAATAAGGTATTATTTAACCCCGCTGTTGTCCTTCCTCAGGTGATGCCTTCATATGTCAGTCATGGATGGAGAGTCAAGAAACCCTTTTCGGAGTTGCTGCCTGAAGTGGATGCTCAGGGTGAGCGGAGGGAATTGAGTAAAGGGAAGGGGAGGAAGGTCAAGCGGTATAAAAGAAAATGAGGACAAATGAGATTAATTCACCGTTTTCACAAAGCAACCTTTTTTTTTTTTTACCACGTAACATTCAGGGCGGGACGTTTATGTGCTGGTACCATTCAAGCATTAACCTCTGCTTTTGAAAAATGAAGCTAATGGGGAAGAGGAAGAAACAGCAGCTCCTCAATTGAGCACTTGTGGCTGGCTGCGAAAGCCAAGGAATCCCAGAAAGAGCGCGTATTGAAAATGCCCTTTTTTACAGCAAGAATAAATATGTTTACAGTTAAAGAAAAGGTTTTGGTATCACAAGCTAACTGCTTCATTGTCCAAACTGTACGGGGGTAGATTTTTTTAAATGAAGGATTTAATCAAACCTGAGAGTTTTTCATTATTCAATTAGGGATGTGGCTGAGTTGACTGACAGTTGAGTCTATGGTGCTGCTATGTTTCAAATGTGCAACTCATATTGATATAAGAATTATGACAAATAATTTCTAAACTGCCCAATTGATTAGAAACCAAAATTAATATTTATAGTCAAAACCAGAAAGAAATATTTTTTAGGTAATAAAATGCATGAACATCCACTTCCTCCCTCTTGGCTGGTAACACTTCCCCTGGAAAGTCCACTAATCAATCCGTTTTAATTTGTATACCGGCAATTCATAACTACTGTTTTGTCAGGACACTTTACAATGAGAGCTGGTCTTTTTTTTTTTTTTTTTAGTATTCAAGAGACCCAGCATAAATCCACCATGTGCAAAATTTGGCAACAGTGGCAAGAAAAAAAAACATCCTTTTAACAGGGAGAAACCTCAAGCAGAACCAGACTCTAATGAACAGCCATGTGTTGGGCTTGGAAAGTAGAATAGAGGGAGATGCAGAATAAAATGGATAGAGAAACAAACAAACAAACAGAGCAACAACAACACCAGATAATACAGACTTAAGGCTAAAATGCCCAAAAATAATAGTAAACGTATCTGAACTTTACCAGGATGAGCAAAATGAGAAAGTGTTAAACAACATTCGCTAGATATGAATGCTAATGTTAGCAGTTTTCAGTTGGGATCTGTTAAAAATTTGTCAGAGCCCCTAAATAATTTGCAAACCTAGAACACATGCTTCATTAAAAAGATTCCCATCCTGCATGAGATCAGAGCATATTGGCCACCGGATGACAAGGGAAGATTTAAAGGGGTGACAAGCAGAAACAGAAGCTTCCCTGTGCAGAGATGGTGGAGGTCTAGCAGCCATAATTTTGCCCTGAAAGAGGATCCTAAAAAATAATGGGGTTTTTTTACAACGTGTCATTACATCCTCTTCTCCTCTTAGCTGTGGACTTCCTTGAGCTCATCCTGACCTTTAACCCAATGGACCGGCTGACAGCTGAAGCAGCTCTGTCCCATCCCTTCCTCCAGCATTACTCGTGTCCGGAGGATGAGCCCACCTCATCACATCCCTTCCGCATTGAGGACGAGCTTGAGGACAGCCTCGTCACCGAGCAGAGCCTCAGCAACAGCAACAGTCAGGCCTCAAGCATCCACTGGGAGAGGTTTGTACATTTAGGTGTTTATACACTGATCGAAGTTAAGTGCGAAAGCCAAAGGCGATATGTACCCATACATTTGATTTACTGTGTTTTCCCCGTAACAAGTAACTTATAGATCTCAATTTATTTAATTTATATTCTCAGAGTTACAAAGCACAAAAACAAAGAAATAGGCTCTACCTACCTTATAAGTGTTTGCAATCTCTGCACAGCACCCCTTTCAAAGCTCTCAATTTTCTGCCTTGACACAGGTATGAGAACAGTTTATCAACAGACGTGTCCTGGCAGCAGTCAGGTGGGAGGTGTCGCTGCATGCCCCCCAGCCACAACACCTCCGACATGGGAGACACCACCGAGGAGGAGGAGGTGCAGAGAGACCCACGGGCCAGTTCGGCCCTGCAGCTGGAGGAGGCTCAGGTTGGATTTTGTAGCCTTTGTTGCTCAGCGGCGCTAATTGAAGTCTTCTTTTTGTTTTTACTTGCTTTGTGTTCAAAGTGTTGATTTGATTTCCCCTTGTTTCCTTTCTTTGTGTCACTCATGCTTTATATTCTCTCTCAGTCTGCTTATGCCAAAGTTATTGTAAAAATTACATATTTCTTGCATCATTCAGGCTGGAAATGCTCTGTGTGCTTGTTAGACGTTGCTATCACTGTCTTTTTAAAGAGGCATGCACTTTATGTGATAGCCTTTAAAGATTATTTAGATTATAAAGAGCCTTATTGCACATTCACATAAAGTCCATTATTTTTGGGAAGATAAGTTTGATAATTTTATATTCTTGACATAATTTTGTTGAATAGTTTACCAAACAAACACAGTTTTCTTACTCTAGAATCGTTCAGCCGAAGATTTTCTTCAACTTAATTTCTACCAAAAAAACACCTCAGCATGATGTTTATGATTAACAGTTTAAGGCACAACACCTTCTCATCCTTCTGTCTCATAACTGTCTCCCTCAATCTTTTTCATGGGAGATTTAAAATAGACTATTGACAGGACCTGTTAATGACCTCACTTGACACCTTCCTTGCAAACGAGTTTACAGGAATTAAAATAACTATATAGAAATGATTTATATTGTCAATAATGGTCTTCTTTGATTTTGCAGGTTGCAAAGAGTAATCGATATTCATTTCAATCGGGTTCATCACCAGCTAAAAACTCCTCACAGGAGCTTTAAGTGTATTTTTTGCCTGTAGATAGATATATAGATAGATACCTTTTTGATCCCGAGGGAAATTAAAAGCATCCAGTAGCAGGTTATAAAGACGTACATGACATGAAACATTTGTTACAAATTAAATCGCAAAACCAATAGTAGCCAATCGCCCCCCCCTCCCATACATATATATTAACCCTTTAAAAGATTTTAAGAAAACCCCTAGATGAAACAAACTTAAACTGTGCAATTAAAAATAGATTTATACAAGAAATGCACATAACCTGTGCAGGGATAAAAAATATATGTGTAATTTAAAGCAAGAACCTATAAACAGTTGAGGGAAAAAAATCTGTAATCTGTGTTGACCTTCTGAAGTTGTGTTGTTTATATATGTACAGCAATGTTTAAAAAAGCAGATAGTGCAGAGTTATCAAAAACAGACATTAAATAACAGGCAGGCTGTACAGGCTGTACTGTTCCTTATAGATAAGACACTTAATCAAAATGAATGTTCTTCCCCATTAATCACCTTCTCCATCCACTACTGTTTCACTGTATCTTTTCTAGGTCGATCCACGCAAATATTCCCACAGTAGCTCAGCCGAACGCTTCCTGGAAAACTCCCACTCCTCTCTGGAGCGGGCCTGTGGTTTGGGCTACGGGGATCTGGATTGCGGCCGCTCCTGTGACTACAAAGTGGGCTCTCCTTCCTATCTGGATAAAATAGCCTGGAGGGAAGGCAAGCCTCAACACTACTCAGAACCAAAGCTGATCCTGGATCTGTCTCACTGGAAGCGCAACACTAACAGCCTCCCTGTGCCTGCTGGGCCGATCTGTGGCAGCGTCGTGGAGGACCTGGGAGACGTGAACGGGGAGATAGCAGAACAGGAGGAAGACGAGGAAACGGGGGATTTGTTCAAAGAGATTTCTCGCTGGGTGGAGAGCACCCAGTCTCGTCTGCATTCACCCAGTCCCAGCCCTTCTTTGGAGCAAAACTCACCCTCCTGCTTCACTTCCTCACCCCCTCTTCCTCTCTCCCCGTCTGACCTCCCAACTCCCGTCTTCCACTACACTGAAGTCCTGCGGCAGCCATCGGCGGGTTATGATGAAGACACACTGAGCCCGCTTCCACCTGTCTTGTCCTCCTCTCTTCCCTCACTTCTCCCTTCCTCTCCCACCTCTCCTCTGCCTCCTCAGCCACCTCAAACTGCATCTCCCCCCATCTCACCACTTATCCCTCCTTCAGAATCTCAACCCCTGTCCTCGACTTCTTCGATCACTCAGCCAGCAAATGACGACTGCTTGGAGTCACTTCCCGTCAAGCAAAAAGATCGCCTGTTTGACCTGGATGTTTTTATATCCCGGGCTCTGAAACTGTGCAGGCAGAATAGGGAGAAAGCAGAAGGGAGGAGAGGAAAGGAGGGAGGATGGAAGGAAGAAAGCAAACAGCAGAACATTAATCGAAAGGTGCCCAGACTTCCGGAGCACAGGACTCCACCACCTCCACAGACGCCCAACTCTTGATGCTGAATTTCAACTACAGGTACAACACAGAGCAGCGTCATAATGGATAGCACCTCCTTATTCTCATAGTGCATTACTATGTGGTTTAATATGCTGCATAAACATTAGGCTAGACCTCAGTGTTAGCAGCTCTCGTCCTTTTGTGACTCATGCAATGACACGCGACATGCTGTGACTGACACTGGCACGTAAACAAGCAATCCTGCAACTTTGTCAAGATGTGTTCTCAGGCAATAAGAGGTCAGAAAGCAGTTTGGTTAATACAAATAGCCATGCTAGCATTGAACATATATAATTTGTTCTAAACAAACATTTGTAAAAACAGTGTGCAAATGATTGTAGGGTTTATAATCATTGGTCAGACTTATTTTTTAAACAAACATCCGACTAAGAAGGAGTCGGCCTGTGAGCGAGACTCATCTGGGCCATTTTCAATATTCATGCGGCGGCCATTTTCCTCTGTTGTTAAACTCAGAATTAGAAGATAACAATATCTTCCTGCTGTATTCTAGATTATAATCCCCATCCTCCTTCTGTTAAACAAAAAGCGAAGCCAGAATGTACATTTCTATCATTTAAAAAAATGAAGGGAATCTGACAGACTTTATCGTTTTAGTGCTTGTGTTTGATCTGCAACCGAAGGACAATAGAAGGTGAAAATGTTGAGGGACATCGAGCCATATTTCAAGTAAAAACAACATATTTGAAAAACCAATAGCAACAGTGAAACAACAGCTAGTGCTTGCATTGAACCTATATCTCCCTTGCTAATATTACTGCTAGGAAGCTAGCTATTAGCTTGGTATTTAAACAGATTTGCTATTTTATTGTGTGGCACTTCCAAACTGTGAGATTAGCCCTCAGTCACTTCCTAGCTGAAACTTTATTCTCTCTTTGCTATTGTTAGCTGTTGCTTACAGTCATTAATGGGTTATAAAACGTGTTCCTGTGACATAAATATGGAACAATGTCCCTCCAAGTTTTCATGACGGTTGCCTTTTTTAGTTGCTAATCAGCTGAAAAGTTTTTAAATAACAATTTGGCAGATTACCTACATTTAACAGAGCTTGTCACTCTAAGCATGAGTTTAAAGGGGAAAAAAAGCTTCTGTGAATTAGGTCAATTGTGTAACGGATAAAAGTAACACGTAGGTCACTTTCTTCACAAGAGATCCTTTGATTTGTGATAGTTAATCAGTCCTTTTTCAAATTGTCAGAAAGTCTTCCAAAGATAATGTTCACAAGCTGTGAGTGACGTATAAAATGCTTTTTCCAAGCTCCTCTGAATGTATTTACTGGACAATACTAAATTATGCTACGTGATGACCCGAATGGATCTGATTTGTTGCTATTTTAACACATGGTGACTTAATGAGCTCTGTCACTGCTACCTGCCTTGTAAACTTGTATAAAGTTTTCATATTGTATTCTTTAGTATATTTCGCAAGATTGTGTTCATGATATTCTTGTGTCTTAAGATATTTCTGTATTCTTTGCTAAAAGCTAGAGCCCAGCATTATGTTCATTTGGAGTGAGTTGTATTTTGTTTAAATGTGGAATGATCTGTTGTAATAATTTATGATTATCCTGAATACCTGCTCTAGTTTGATCACAAATGGTTTCGTATTCTGTTTGCCTGATTCACCAAAACCAGGTCAGAATCTGCTGTACAATTAATGAAAACGCTCTATCCACTCTGTGCTATGAAAGCAAGAAATCTGTCACCAGTGTGCACACTTAAATATTAGCTTCAGAAAGATATAATGCTAACAACAAAAAGCCTATATTTTGGAGATTGTAAATTCATTGCAACCAAAACTATTTGTACTCAAAGCTCATCAATGCTGCCCAGCTACTGAGTAGATGAGTGTGAGTAAATGTGATTTAATCTAGCATCTAATGTGTCTCATTCAAGATAACCAAATTAGATAAAAAATACAGTCAGCTGTAAGTTATTAACGGATGAAGGCTGTCGGCTTGTGCTTTCTACTTTCTTGATCAAAGGCATCTCATTCGTTTAACATATCAATCTAAAGAGCTATTGGTGAGCATATGGTAACAGCAAAATGAGTCTGTTGGGCTTGTTCAAAAAAGTTATACAGTTGAATCCATTTGCCCAGGACACACACACCGTGTAGAAAAATCTACCATCCCTCGTCCGACTGTTTGATATGTAATACTCTGCTGACCTGGTTCACTCAATGGGCTTTAAGCACATTTAGGTACAATAGTGAGCTGCTTAAAATCACTGCCAGCACAGCAACAACACCTAGAATAAGATGTATTTGATCTGTTACTGGCAACAAGTCTTTCATACTGTCTTACATGTTCACTCTAACTCCAAATACACACCATACAACCCACACAGAACAGCATAGGAGGAATGAAAAGCCTTTTTCCGCAGCGGAAAAAAAATAATCTTATAGATATTTTTAAATGCTTTTAAAATTAATGTGCACTTAAAATTCATTTTAAATATTTGTTGACTTTGTTAATATTTAAATTTCAGTGTAGACGAAGTGCAGGGGTTTACTGCAGATCATCACGTGCACAACATGAACAGCCATACGTGACAAACTGCTGACAGTACAACCTCTGATACAGAAAAGCCAGATACATTCCTTCATACTCACATTAGACATGGAGCACATGTAGAGTCAATAGCACATTAAGATTTACTCAGCCACATTTTAAACACAACAACATGCCAGTTCTCATCATTAATGTAACTCGTAGGTGTTAACATACTTGGACTTTATCGCTGTACTAACTGATGTGCTTATGTAAAGAAAAAGTACAAGCTTTCCATTTTCTAATCTGGAGATATTTATCTATCGGCTCATAAACAAAAGCTGTGCTGCAGTGAATCTCATTAGAACAAGGTCTAGAATTAAATCCATCCAGGTCCAGTGATCACATCAGGCTTTTTACAGTTTCTCTGCTCGTTATCTGCCAGCAATACCATCCGTTACTAATAACACAAGCATACCTTAACAGCTGGTTACTGGGCTGACATTAATTGATTTAAGTTTGTGAAGCAATGTAAAAAAAAATGTGCCTCATTATTACACCTTGATGCTTCCAGCTTGCTGAATGTAACATATCCTGTCTCTTCTGCATGGCTTTCACAGCTATTCAAAAAAAGCTAACATTTCTTGTTTTTATTTGGTAACACTTTGTTGTAAAAGTCAGATTTCTGTTGGCTCTGATGTCTTTTGTACTAATGCTGCAAAGAGACCTCAGCTTTTCATTTTAGAACAGCTGAGAAGTTTTTAAATGCTCAACAATGATTGATAGTATCTTTCTGCAGTTTATGTTTTTGCTGAATATTTAATAAAATATTACTGAAAATTTTATTTGGCCTCTCGTTTATCGCTGTTTTGTTTTATTGAGATAAACATTATAGTTGTGATTTCTTAGAATCACTTCGTATTTTATTATTATTTATATTCATGGACATTTGTCAGACCAGAGTATCATTGCATTATAAGACAAAGTTTGCAAAACCTTTCCTTTAATGGGCCTCAACTCAAGAGGAAAACATGACAGGCCACTGAGCCCAGAGTAGAATGCAAACAGGAAATACATAAAAATACAAAAACCAAACAAATATCATCTGAATTCAGATTTAGAGTGAAGCTAGTTTTGTCCTTAATGTCTTTTGTTGTTGCTATAATTTCACTCTTAAGAGTGGAACAGAGTTATAAAGTCAATTTTGGGATCTTCACTGCTGAGTTTTTTTGTTCAAACATTCATACAGGAACATAGGCTACATTTTAAATTACAGCAATAAAATTTTTTTAAAAAGACAATGAGCTCTCTTTGGGGACCGTAAACATCTTGGAGCCCTGTTCAGCAGTGGCCCACTTGTTGTATTTACTGTATGTGTTGCAGCCAATGTGAACTTTTAAATAAGATGAACAATTCAAACCAGAACTCTAACGCCCTCTACTGAACAGCAGGTAATGTTATAATGGGATGTTCTTTCCAGCTGTTTCTATTTTTACTTTTTCTAATTTAAATTCAGCAAAAAGGGGGGAAAGGGGGGAAAAGTAGCCTAGATTAATCTAGATTAATGAAAGAAAAAATCCCAAAAGCTCCACAGGGTGTTTCACTTCATATTGTTTGATGCTTCAATTTAATTTAAAGATGAAGATTAAGATCAACTTTATTGATCCCACATGGGGGACATTTTTTTTGTCACAAATGTTTAATTATCAAAAATAACAAGAAGTTAACAATCAAACATATGTACATCAGTTAAATAAAGGGAGAAAAATACAATAATAGAATAATATATATTTATATATTTTTATTTTTGTTGATTTTTTGATATCCTTTATTAATCCCTGAGGGAAATTCGGGTATAATACAGGGTATGCACACTTCCACTTGTGGAAAGAGTTATTATTATTAAAAACGCACACAGTGTGTAGCATTATTGATATGAGTCATGAGGTGGTGATGCTGTTACAGAGTGATTAAACAGTCTACAGACGGAATGAAAGACCTGCTGTCTTGCAAGGATATCTCAGTCTGCTGCTGTTTGTTATAACTATTTAAAAAAAAAAATCCAATGTCACAGAACCAGAATATAAAATCCACACAAACATAAAAAAAAAAAGAAAAAAAAAAAAAAACGTGTTTTATTTAACAGCCTTACATTTCTTTTAAAATCCCACACACTTCAAATTTTAGGACCTGCTTTTAGAGCAACTACGGCCGGTGATTGTGCTCTCATCTTGGGCATGTCACGGAGTTTTACGGTAGAAGGAAATCCCGACATGTGATTGGATGAGCGGTCTCAGTTGCCCTCTCTCCTCTGCGGCGTCGCTTCACTGCATCTGTGGCTGCCGGTGAGGGACAAACCGAGAGGTCAAGCAGCAGCACTTTTCATCATAAATCCTGGAGAAAAAAATGCTTTATGAACAGTAAACTATCCGACAGAAGGAACTGCGTGTGAACAATATTCAGTATCAGGTGAGTCGTGTGGTTAATTCTGTTGTGTGTCTGTTGCCAAGAATTATAGAGAAAGGGGTCTGAATGAATGACAGCCTGTCACTCATCAGGGTAGGAACTTCCGCCTTGTATGTCATGTCTCATTAACAGACATTATTTTATTTTAAATGGGCTTTGTGGGTTTCTTTTCTGTCGTTCACATTTCCGTTATAAACAGGTGCTAGCCGAATGTTAGCGTGTAGCATTTGTTAGCTGCGTTCTGTTTATGGTTGTGTCTAAGATTGCTAAGCTAACTGCTTATCTTACCCCCATACAGACTGTGTATAATAATAATGAGGTTTACACCTGTAGTGAATTGCAATATTTTCTTGACATTGTACATCAGATTGTTTTCTGTGTAAACATCATATGGTCACACTCCCATCACCAAACAGAAGATGGGGGTATAAATAGTGAGTGGTTAATAAATCCTTCATTTTTATTACATCTTAAAACCAATAAAAAAAACCCATAAAGACTTAATTTTTACTGACATTTCGTTATCTTGCTATTACTACATTTAAATCAACTATAGTTAAGTACTACCACATCAAATATTGCACAGTTTCTTCACCAAATAATCAATTCAGATAGGCCTCAGTTAATAAACAAGTTGTGCATACTTCTTACTGCTGCTGGTTATAGAAACTTAATAACAAGATAGTCTAGTCTTCCTTTTGTCAGGGATTAGGTGACTAAAACACTTGTAACTAAAGCCACACCTTGTTGCTTTACATCAATGACTAATGTAATTAGAAACATTCAAACATTGGATTATAATGCTCTGTAATAATAGTATTTGCATTATTATACCTATATACCTGTGTACTATGTTCCCTGGATCATTCCCCTCTCATACCATGATAAGGTGTGTGTGTGTGTGTGTGTGTGTGTGTGTGTGTGTGTGTGTGGGTGTGTGTGTGTGTGTGTGGGTGTGGTTTGTTTGAGTTGGTGTGATTGATTGTGTCTTAAGCTAACAGGATGCTCATAGCCTACGAACTTGAGCAGTGGCGTTCTGCTTTCCGGAGTGAAAACTCTGGTTTCCTGTAGCCAATAATCTCCATATTAAGAGAACCTCCAGGCCCAATAATTCGACATGTAACTGTAAATCTAGACTATACTGTGTCTCCTGTTTGCTTACCTTTTTCGATGTCAAAGTTTTATTTAGTATGTATTTACATTAATATATCAAGGGCCTTTTCCAATTTTGTCTTGTATATAGTTATAAGATTTCAAAGCAGGGACCATTAAACCTAAAGTTTATACAGTGAGGCTCAGTGAGTATGTTGGCCAAATTCTAGCCTTTGCAAATGACTGTGCTGTTACAGATTTAAGCACAATCTAAGAGTAAGCCTTGCACTATAAATCTGTTAAGAAATCCCCCCAAAATAATCTCTAGGTGTGTTTATTTTCTGCTTGCCGTCTGTTGCAGTCCTGACCAGTTTCTCTTTGTGGGGAAGTGTCCAGTTTGTGCATTTATAATAGCTCTTCCAACACTGATAACATTCTTGTCTGTTATGGTTTATATGCCGGGTGTGCCTTTCTAGTTGGCCGACACGAAAATGAAACCAGGATAACATGCAGTCTCAACACTGGTTGCTTAATGGTGACATGCTGACAGTGTCTGAAAGAGACTGTAAATGCAAAGGTTTCAAAATCTTCTTTGTATGTTTGTCCAACATTATCAGGTGTTCAGCTTTCTGTGTTCTTGAAACAGGTGAGAAGCACTTTTTGTCTAGTGTACAACTCAAAGGGAGGAAGTGAAAAAGTCAGCCTCAAAGCTGTTCCTTCTCTCGGGGTGTCAGAGACTTCAGATGTCTGCTGATTATTTTTGTTGCCCACACAGCCTGTCACTTTGACCTTGGATTAAACGCTGCTTTCTAGGAGGTGTTTCCTGGAAATGTAGTTGTAATCCAGGACTGGGCCAGCTGGCTATGCTTGTAATTTCTTTCATAAAATATTTTGGTGTCAAAGGAGAGGCTCATGATAAGACAGAGGTCTTCCTCTGAATCTGTTTCAGAGGAAGGCTAATAGTAAAATTGCATCCCTAATAATATAAGCATTGAGTGACATGTTTTTTTGTATTAAAATGTGTTTTAATGTATTTATTTTGTGTCTCCAGTGGTTATTTTTTTATGATAAAAAAGCAGACAAGCAAGGTTAATGAGGCGGGGAATAGAGGAGGACAGGATACCCCTGACAGCACAGATGAGGGCTGGTTTGTTTTTCATGAAATGTTTTTTTTTGACAGCTGAGCTCAGCTGACTGTCCTTTATAGGTCATAAAACCATTCAGTGTTATCAGATCAAATGTTTCTATAATATAACAAAGACTCGACATTGTTTGTAATCTTTATGTCGTCACTACAGACAGACAGTCTTTCGTATCCTCATGTATTGTTTAAGGAGTACTACTTTCAGAAGTCTGCTGGCCCTCATGTAGTAAGTAAAGAGGAAACTAAAATAGACACTGCGTGCAATAATGCTCACGTTGCTGTTACCCACAAGACTTGCTTACAAGTCCACTTGCATTTCCTCTGGGTCAGGTCTTGACATTTGGGAAGGTCAAAGGGAATTCATGATTGACAAAGAAGTGAAAAAGCATAAGAAAGTGGTTTAAATTAGAAAGAATAACTTTATATAGTGGTTTGTTTAATAAATTGTGTTGGCTACATCTCCTTTGAGGTCTGTTTTGCAAGTTTAGTTGCATCATGATACTTAAGTAGTGAGATGAAATGTTAAGGCATAAGATAGCATTGTATCTTTGAGGACTATTTGCTACAATAACTATTACAAGGAGAGGGGAGGCAGTGCTGCTCTTCATTTTAAGTATACTGGCCTCTTTTCTGCAATTGTAACAACACAACAACAGTTACTACAGCGAATCACGGGTCACATGCATAACATAGCTCCTACAATGAAGATACTATTCCGGGCTGCCAACAGCAGCTGAAAGTAGGGCAGGGGCCCGCCACCCTCGTGAGAGTGATTGTGTTGATGATGTGTCATTTCAGGAAATCCTGATGTCACATACAGAATTTTGTAAATTCACTGCCTTCCTAGTTTCTTTTGGTACGTTCTAGCAGATGCGCCTCATGAGTCTTGCTTCCAGCCTGTGAAACATGTTATCTCTCTCTCCGTGGCTTCCCATCTTTCCTGTCTGTTGGCTGATGTCCCATGATTTAGCTGGTTTTCTGTCTTCATGTGAAGCTCATTGCAAAAAAGGATTAGGGCAATCTTTCAAAGCTTTTTTTTTTCTTTTCTCAGATCACCCACTAAATCACTTCAGTCCACATCCAGATTAATGACTTCACCCTGCTGTCGGCATCTGTAATCCTCGAGTGTGTGATATTCTGTACACGCACTGTGCATTCGTAGGCTTCTGTGATTGAGAGTGTGTCAGAGGACTGTCATACCGAGGTGTGAAAAAGGTCTGGTGATGTCATGTTTAAAAGGTTGGCACAAAGATATAGTTTCATGTGTACTGGCACCATAAACACTGCACTTTGGTTTTAAACATGCAGAAGACTTTGTCCTTCCTTGGTGATATGAACCACTGTGAATTCATGTTTTAACCAGGAGACTGGCTGCTAATATTCAGCATCCCAGACTGTATCTTACTATGTACAACCTGTTATTTCATCTCCATGATTAGGAGGATAATAATCGACCAATAACTGTTTCTCTTTTCATTCTCATCAGCCTCCCACCACCTGTGGACCTGTCTAAGAGCGTCCACCATGTTGTCCCGATTGAGAACCACCTGGTCCCTGAGGCCCTGTGTCTCTGTTTGCAGATGGGCACACACCAAAGAGAAAGGAAAGCCCCTCATGCTCAACCCTCGCACTAACAAAGTAAGTGGATCACTGGTGTCGTCTGTGTGTGTCAGCATTTCAAAAAAGGCTCAGTGGTTAAACAGATGGCAGCTTTATTAACATATGTTTGAGCAGGTCAGACCATTTGTGCTGGATCCGTGCCAGTTATGTCAAGTTAGAAAGGGGGCTAATTGGCGTTAGCTTTTTGAGCATCTGGGTGGAGAAAATGTGATGCATGTCTGAAATGTTTTCCTCTGGTTGGTAAAAAGTTATGGAGGGAGATGTTCTGTAAATCATAAATGGCATTTTAAATTATCATTTTAAATGTTAAATTCTCTTTTTCAATATTTGGTTTAGGCTTTTATAAATAATCAGTTTCCTAATATTCCTTCCTTAAATCTTGAGGCCCTGTATCAGGACTTTTCCTTTTTTCCATCGCTTTGTTGTCCTCTGTTCTTTGTCAGTATTTCTTTTATGTTGGGATTATAAGAGCTGTATTTTATTGAAGAGTCTTACTTTGTTTGATGGCAGAAATGTAAGTACACCCTTAAATTGTACTAACACGAGGGTCGCCGGTTCAATCAGTGCAGCCACCTCACTCTGATATCTCTCTGTGTGTCTGTGTATGTTTGTGCATGTGTGTATTTTTGGCCGATGTGTGTGTGTAGCATGTCTTTCAATAACAGAGAAAAGTTGACGATTAATTAAGTAAATTACTTTTTTTTTTTAATGAAACAAAAGTCCACAGATGTCCGCATCCAAATGTCATGATCACCAAGAAGTAGTTTACATTACAACAACAAGGGAAGTGAAGAACTGCATCAGTTGATTTTATCCCTCAATCAGAGTTTAATACCTCTCCAAATGTTCCTATCAGAGACAAAAGGTTTTCCTCCAGCTGTTCATTTCCCTCTGCTGATTTGCTTCCAACACTGTAAACCTTGAAGTGTTGAATTTCTTTAGGAAGCCAAGCTAGTATATCAATTCAATCTTTCCAAATGCTGTACTTATGCAGCTTCAAAATATTGAAAGCATCATCGTAAGCAGTGTAAAAACAACTTAACAACTCTGCTTCCTAACTCATTTAATAACAATTAGCCCTACAAATTGTGTTTGATTCCTTTGCCTTCAACAAAAATTACTAACAAATGTGGACATGGTCACCCCTCCTCAAAGCTCAGATAAAGCCATTTTGTGTCGACTGAGATATTGAGTTTTTAAAGAGTTATATTTGTTATATTTAATATTTGTTTGGGCACTTACCACACCCAGTATCCAAATGTTTATTTTCTTATTAACTGTCTATGCACTACAGTTTAATTTTCCTTTTCTATTTCACCTCATTTTACTCTTTATACCCACCCTGCCTTTGAATGATGTGGTATGCCTCCTGTAATGAACTTTGAACTTCCTTGTGTTTAAAAGGCGTTTTACACGTAAGCTTTCCTTACCTCGACATGAAGGCGTAACCACACCCAAACAGTGTTGTCACTGCTGCATGCATACTGCAGCAAGGTAGGGACTTAAATGAACAAAAACAGATTTAACAACCTAACAAAACACATATTTCATCTTTACCAAGTTAAATATGTGTGCTAGTCTCTTACATATGGGCATCAAACTCGATGGTCAGTGTGGAAAGTGGGAAGTTTTCTAGTTGTATCTGCTTGTGGTTTGTAGATGGTATATTTTAAAGTCCCACCCCTGGAAATGTGGATTCAGTCCGTGGTTAATTGTTTGGCTGCGTGGTTGTTTCTTGTTAGTTTTTCCTTTAACTACTGCAAGTCACAAATTACATTTGAAACATGAAGCTTTGGCTGCTTGAAGTGACATGATCTCACTTTGTGCAGGTTGTGCTAAACTTAGCTTGGACTGCATATGTTGTGTTAAACATAGATCTTCCACAGGCCAGCTGGCTGATGGAAACACTGTATGTAAAGCAGCTACACCGCCGTAAACTCCCCTGGTGTGACTCCTCATTGTGTTCATTTCATCTGCTTTGTTTTAATTTAGAAACTCATGCAAGGATCAAAACTCACTGAAGAGTTACAAGCCTTGAGAAGAAGTCGTAAGGCTCTTCTTCTGTGGTCACGGTTGCTGTTTAGTTGAAATAAGATGGCAACTGTAGCATCGTGTCTTTAATCTTGAAACACCCTGAAACTTGATGCATTCTTCCTCTTCAACCCGGCTTGCATCAGCAGACTGCGTCATCACCATGCCTCTCATTATGACTGAGCATACATCTATGGAAAGTAATAGAGTTGCAAACATGCAAATTAAGATAAGATGTTTTTTTTTTTTTTAAGTTATTTGTATTTGCCTTTATGCCTATATCAGATAGGCCAGCTGAAGAGAGACAGGGAAGGTTGGGAGGAGAGACATGCAGCAAAGGGCCGAGGTTGGACCCGAACCCACGTTTGCCAGGTGTCAGAATAATAAATGCTAACAAACAATATTTAACAATCAGTAAATGTTAAAACATAAAAATAAAATAGATAGCTGCATGTTTCATTCCACAGAGAGGAAGTGAGCAGTGGAGCTGGGAGAAGTGAAATGCTCCATCAGCATGACTCAGCACTAAACCAGGGGAGCCCCCAGCATACATCACTCTCACAGAATAATCAGACCCTCTCCCAGCCCCAGACGTTATGGCTTCCACGTGTTACGACCATATTTCATTCAGAGATTGGCTCGTTGTAACACTGACTGCAGGAACGTGAACCACTCTGTACCCCTCCTCCCTCGTCCTCTCTGTTGTACATGGGGTGTTTCTTCCTCAAGCCCTCTTCATTGGCTTCTTAAAGGCTTACTCCCCTCTTGTCCCTCTTTTCCTTCATTTCTCCAACTGCAAAATAGCTTCCACAGCTCCCCCCCCCTTCGCTCAGCTGCCTCGTTTCTCCTGTTTAGAGTCAGAAGGTCAAGTCTCTCAGGACTCAAAGGTGCTGCAATGCGCACTCTGATCACAAACACTTCATCACAGTGTGCGTACACTTCCTGCAGCACAGGTCCTGCAAATTGGTTTAGTAGTGATCATTTTTTATTTCAATGACACTTGCACATGTTGGAAGCAGAAAGTTATTTCCTGTAGATGCACATTACTAACAATGATAACCAAATTCAGGCGAAGGTGTTGATTGAACCTTGACCTTTGTTTTGAATTCAAAGTAAATAGGTCTCTTTGAGTTCAGAGTAAAACTGTGAAACAAAGCATCTGCAAAACATCAGATTGTAAACTCATTATAGCCACTGTAGCTTTATTTAAATGAATTCTATAATCATGAGTTATTAATCTAATCTTTTTGTTTGTGCTCTGTAGGGCATGGCCTTCTCTCTAGAGGAACGACAGATTTTGGGGATTCACGGTCTGTTACCTCCCAAAGTGGAAACCCAGGACACTCAGGCCATGCGCTTTCAGAATAATCTGAAGAAGATAACTGATCCCTTACAGAAGTAAGCACACATTTTCCTTAAACAACAGAAAGTAAAACCACAGTATGACCTTCTTTCTGTTGCATTTTAGATTTTTTTTTTTGTCATCATACAGAATATTTAGCTTCAAACAGCACTCTAACGTTCCCTCCTCTTTCATACAGGTATGTCTACTTGATGGGCATCCAGGAAAGAAATGTGAGGCTTTTCTACAGGGTGTTAATGGAAGACATCGAAGAATTAATGCCAATAGTCTACACTCCCACTGTAGGCCTGGCCTGCACACAGTATGGACACATCTTTAGAAGACCTAAGTAAGAATAAAGTATATCTATCATGTATCTACAGCTGTAATAGAACAATTAAGGAATTGAGTTCATCTTTTCTGATTGTTTTTCATAGAAGAATGCATCTTACCATGACTGTATATTAAACTTATCATCTTTGTGTCTCTCACCAGGGGCTTGTTCATTTCCATTCGGGACAGAGGACACGTCCGTTCCATCCTGGAAAACTGGCCAGAGACCGATGTTGCAGTGAGTACGAGAAAACCTCACCAAAGTATAAAACCGTGACTCCTGTATTGTTTCCCACATGCACTCCTGAACATTTTCCAAAAATGCAGTGAAATCTTCCTAACATCCTGCCTTTACATCAATGCCTTGTATGATTGAACATTTTCATGGTTTCAATGAATGAATGGAAAAGAGATTACCAGCCAGCAGAAAAGAGTGAGGATAACGAACCAGTTGTTAAATATAAACGCCATCATCCCCGCCTGCATGCTCGCTCGTGAATAATTTTGTCTGAATATTACCTGCTGCGTCCACTCATCGGCTAACCCAGACTTCACACAGACATTTTACTAAAGGACTGGCAGAAAAAGTTTGTGCATGTGTGAAAACACCACAACTTGCAATTGTCATTGAAATTCTTGGTATTTAAAATATATATATATATATTCTTCTTGTCCACATTTGTCTGCTAAGGTCTAGTTTAGTATTTCACACTTTGAGAGTTTTTCTCCAATTTAGCTGACCAATGTGCTTCTTTTCCTCTCTCTCTTTCTCTCTCTCTTTCTGTAGGCAGTAGTAGTGACTGATGGAGAGCGTATTTTAGGATTAGGAGACCTGGGGGTTTATGGAATGGGAATCCCTGTTGGAAAACTCTGCCTGTACACTGCCTGTGCCGGCATCCGACCTGAGAAGTGTCTGCCTGTAGCGATAGATGTTGGAACAGATAACGAGGTACGAAATATTAGTTTGTGTTGTCTACATACTGTATGTGTGTATATGCTTTTTAGACATCTAATCATCCTTGACATGTTTGTCCTCGCCCTTTAATCAGACTCTCCTGGAGGATCCGCTGTACATGGGCTTGTACCAGAAGCGAGATCGCTCTCAAGCCTACGACGATCTGATTGATGAGTTTATGGAAGCTGTGGTGGAAAGATACGGACAAGACACACTGATCCAGTTTGAGGACTTTGGGAACCACAACGCCTTCCGCTTCCTCAGGAGATACAGGGAGAAGTACTGCACCTTCAATGACGATATCCAAGGTTTGAAAACAACTCCTCACACAGCACTCAGCAGTTTGTTTGACAATGCCAGTGTCCCAACAACTTGATTAACTTTGGAACAGCTCAGTTGGTGCTGCTGAAACCCTTCTAGAGGGTTTGGATGTGTCAGTCCATCCCTCCCTGTGGCCTTAATCTAAAATGATCTTCTGTTGGCGGAACAAGAAGAGCATGTTGAGCTCTACGGCTGAATTTGTATCAGTAAGTCTCAGGAGCCTGAAACTTATCCATTCCAATGAACATGTAGTGACCTCACATAACTCCTACAAGGTAGTTCAATATTGTGCAGGGACCCTTTAGAAAACGTACTCGTGATGAGCTCAAGGCTCGGCTGACAGCTGTAATCGAGAATTGTCTGCTGTGACAAAATGTGTTCATGGGCTATGCTGCCTAAAATCAGATAAATAATGTTATTAATAATAAACTTGATTTAAGAAGCAACTGTCTTAACTTTACATTACATTACAAAGTGCTTCACGTGTATAAAAGAAGCCCATGAAGCAGACAAACATTAAAAAAAAGGCAAAGAAAATGGGTAATAACAATAACATCACCATGGTCACTTGAAAATCTCTCTGATCGATGTTTTTAGATTAGGTTATAACTTGACCTGATTTCCTCGTGCAGCTCTTTCCAGAGCTTCAGGGCTTTGACTGTGAATGCTCTGTCAACCTGAGTTTTAAGCCGTGAAAAGACCTCTGCCCGAGGATCTCAGGCTGTGTAATGGTAGCCTGGAGAGAGGCCATGAACAGCCTTAAAGGTCAGCAATCTATTCTAAAGCACATGGTGAGCCAGTGCAAGGAGGCTGAAACAGGTGTAATGTGGTCATTCTTCTTGGTTTTTTGTTAAAAGTCTGGCAGCTGAGTCGTGTACCGTCTGGAGCCGTCTTGTAGCTCTTTGGTTGTGCCAGGTGAAAGGGCTGATATTGTAATAATTTAAGATGTGACTGATTATCTGTGTGATTAATCAGGTCCATTAAAGACTGAGATCATAGATACAAATCACTTCAAAGATATTCACTGTATGTTGTATATGGCAGAAACTCTAAAAAGGAGTTGTGATGTTTGAGTTCAGAGTTTAAACTGAAATGCAGCGTCTAAAGAACTCCTCTTTATAATCGTATGTCCCTCTGGATGTGTCCAGGTACTGCTGCTGTAGCCCTTGCTGGTTTGTTGGCAGCTCAAAAAGCCGTTGGAAAACCGATCACTGAACACAGAGTGCTTTTCCTGGGAGCTGGAGAGGTAAGATTCTTTTACCCATGTAATCAATATGTGCTCAAGTCCCTTTGTTAAAGCCATGCTGCCCCCTACCGACCAAAGAGGCTAATTTAAGTTGCACTATGTTTACACTGCCATAATAATTTGAACCTTGAACTATGAGGTTGTTTTGCTCGTAGGCTGCTCTTGGTATTGCCAGTCTGATTGTAATGGCCATGATGGAGACGGGGATGAGCCAGGCTGAGGCCAGAAGTAAGATCTGGATGTTCGATAAACATGGCTTACTAGTAAAGGTCAGTGTGTGTGTGTGTGTGTGTGTGTGTGTGTGTGTGTGTGTGTGTGTGTGTGTGTGACACAGAAATGAACAAAAATAACTTAATATTTATATGTCTGTCTGGACAGGAAGCCAGACAGTCTGTGTAATTAGTGAAAAGTGGTTTAACTCTTTTTTTTGTATTGACTCACTGAAGCTATCAATGTTGTTATGTGACTCCAGGGCAGACCACAGGAAACGGACTCAAACCAGGAGGCATTTGTCCACGACAGTCCAGGAGACGTGCAGAGCTTCCTAGACGCCGTCAACACCATCAAACCAACAGCCATCATAGGTACCTACGGGTTTCTCTATTCGTTTGTCAACACCTACCATCGTTTTTAAAATGTGTTTTTGGAACCAAACATGCCACCTTGTTTGTTGTGTTGGAATTATTTTAATGATCATATTTATTAAATTCTATCAAGTGGGAAATTGGATCAGGTAAACAAAGAAAGCCACTTTTTAATTGAGTCTATCTATTATTTATAGAATTCATATGAAACAATAAACGGATCATTAGTAGTCCCTAATTCATCCTGTCATGTCTGGGTGCTGTAATTCTGGGCTCAGCCTGTGTAGTAATGATAAAAGCACAAGGTGACCAACAGTCTTCTTCTTCTTTCAGGTGTGTCGGGGGCTGGACGTCTGTTCACTCACGACGTCATCAAGTCCATGGGAACCCTGAACGAACGACCAATCATCTTCGCCCTGAGTAACCCAACTACTAAAGCAGAGTGCACGGCAGAGGACGCCTACACCCTTACTGATGTACGCAGTTCTTGTGGCTTTACTTTCATTTGTACTTCTATTCATTAATCACTTCTTGGAAGAAAAAAAAAACACAGTTCCAATATTGGGAAATAATTCCTTAAAGTTACAGAGATGCGCCTGTCAATCAAATCTAATAGTCAGCAGTCAGTCATGTCTGGAAACAGCAGCCAGCGGTCTGAATACTGAGCTGCTCTCATTGTATACTTTATGTTCCTGAGCGGAGCTGAGCTGAGGAGATGTAGGGCGGGGTTTGCTTGTTACACTTGTGACATCACTCTTCCTGTTTTTGTCCTCTTTTCCTCATCATCATTATCTCCTCATAATCCACAGGGTAGATGTCTTTTTGCCAGTGGCAGTCCATTCGGTCCAGTGACTCTGAGTGATGGCCGTGTCTTCACTCCTGGACAAGGGAACAATGCTTACATCTTCCCAGGTAAACAGAAAACTAAACTGAATGTTGATAAAAGTGAAAAGGAGGGATGGTTGTGTATAAACTCCTTGGACCTGAAAGATGGGTGTGAACATTTAAAACAACGTCTAGTTTTTCCACAGCACATGAACTTAACAATAAGAAGGCTAAGAGTTGAAGTGGTCTTTTGTTTGTTTGTTGCAGGTGTGGCCTTGGCTGTGATCTTGAGCGGAGTGAGACACATCAGTGACACCGTCTTCTTAGAAGCTGCCAAGGTCTGAAGTCATTACTCAGAATCTCTGATTTAGTCTTCTGCACATTTTCAGAAGTTTATCTGTGCCTCGCCCCCTCACTCCATCCTGCACTTTCTCGCTGTCATGTACGCTGTGTATGGTCGTTTTAACCCTCTGATGTCTCCTGTCCCCTCTCTTTCTAGAGTCTGCCTTAACAACTAATAGATGAGGAGCTTTTAAAAGGCTGATCCTGCTTTGCACTCCTTCCATCTGTGTCCTTTCCTTTGTCTCTGGGCTACATTTAACATTTAACCACATTGATTTATAGAATTGTTGATAAAGATCACATCATGATTTATTTATTCTCTGAGGCCAGTACTGAAATGTCTCCGATTAGACGCTGGTATTTGCATTTTGGAAATAAGAGTTGTTTTTTTCTTTAATTTGATTTAACACCTTATTTTCTAATATCTTTCGTCTTGTGTTTCCTTTTTCAAAAGCACATGTTCTACACACTAATGTAGTTATCAAACAGCAGAGTAACATACTGTAGGTAAATAATAGTAGTAATGTGTATGTGTCTGTTTTGGACCCTAAGAGTTCATCAAAAGCCTAAAACCATTTTTTACTCCTTCCAGAACCTCTCGGAGCACCTGACTGACAAAGACCTGGAAGAGGGCAGACTCTATCCTCCTCTCTCCAACATCAGAGAGGTTTCCATCCAGATGGCTGTCAAGGCAAGTCTCCTGAATATGTCAATGTCCTTTACAGGCAAAAGTCAAAGGTTCCAACTTTAGCTAAATATTTGGGCCAGTTTTAAACCTGATAGTCAGAACTTAACTATCTTTGCCTTAAGGGTTAAGGGTTATTACTGTTATTATTAACAACGTAGGCCCAAAATGCCGGTTTAATGTTGTGTCGAATCCTAACTCAGCCCTTTGCTGCATGTCATTCCCCACTCTCTCCTCCTAACATTTCCTGTCTCTCTTCAGTTGTCCTATATCTAATAAAGAAAGCATGGCCCAAAAAAAAAAAAAGTCTGCTGGAGCCAGACTGTACATTCAGTACAGTAATGTGGATGTTAACCTGCAAGGAGGAACGAAGACCGGTGGTGCTAGCAATGCTAACATTGGCCACACTCTGCAAACCAATTTGACATTGAGAGTAATGCACATAACTTATATCAGCTCCATATGATATAGCAGCCAATTTCATAATTGGAAAATGTGCTGAACTATTTCAAATAATCAAAAAGATAAAACACAAAATGGTTTTGGACAATACATTGTGCTCAATATTGACTGTTACTGACTGAATATTGAGTGTTTTCTTAACTTTAGACTAGTCCAGATGTCTGAATTTTGAGTTCTGTTTGATCTACAGGGAAATTAAAAGCCCGGGACATCGCCTGGGACACAACAGTTGTCTCAGTGTAACTTAATGCTAATAATTCTCTTTCCTGCTGCAGGTGGTGGAGTATGTCTATGCTAAAGGCATGGCGTTCCGCTACCCTGAGCCTATGGACAAGGACAGCTTTGTACGTGCAACTGTGTGGAACACCGACTATGACTCCTTCCTACCAGAAACCTACGACTGGCCAGGCGTCAGCTTCACCCCCAAGACTAAATAGAAGTGTAACAGACCCTCACTGTGCTCTGTTTCACAATGTCCCTCTTCCTTTGTTTCCCACTCAAACCTCAATCACAGATCTTTTGAGATGATCACTGTTATCTCAGTGCAAACATCAACTTAGATAGTAGAAGCTCCCTGCTGTCTTGTTGCTGCATTTGCACCAAATCAGTCTTACTAGATCTGTGAAATTGTAGATTGAGTGAACTTTGAAAGATGACATTCAAGGTGAAAAAGCAAATTTCACTTCACATCCATCTTTTAGTCACTTTTGCGTCACATGAATACCTAAGTAACACCTGGAGGGCCCTCTGGTGGTGGCAAAAAGGCAGTGCAGATATCTGGTTTCATTGTTGAAACCTTGCATCTTAATCATCAGTACTTTCTCTGAAAATGAAAATAGGAAAAATAACTTTAGAAGCCAACTTGTTTCTTTACCTAATCAACTTTTAAATCGTGCTTTTAAAGGGTTAAGTTACTAATGTGTACTGAACGCCATGTAAAGTACAATTATCTGCTCAGCTACATACAAGGAAGACACTCCATTTTAAACATAATGACTGAAACTAGTTTTGTTATTCACTCCTGATGCACAGCTGCCCACTCCTCATGTCTGCTGCTATAAGCTTTTTTAACAAGCATATGTATGGACATTGCTTTTTTTCCCACATCAGGCGGGCCTCTGGTGACTTCACTAACCCTTCACTAACATCAAACATATGTTTCGAGAATTACTTTGACTTAGATTTAATCAGGCCTCGCTGCCTATCAGTGAAGGTTTAGCAAAGCAGAAGTTGAAAGAATTTGGCCATCATTTTTAAAGTAGTGAGAAAGAGAGAAAACGTGTTACTCAGGGGAGAAAGAGTGATGTTGGAAGGAAGGATCTCGGGGGGGAAAAAATGTATATTTTATGAAGGGAAATTATAGTTATGTTTAAAAACACTTGGGGGGGATACAATGTTCACTCCAGTAACTTTTTGTTCAAGCACTCTCAAACATTGTGTTTTTCTCTCTGAATTGATTTTATGTTGTGGGGGGGGGGTTATTCAGTATTCAGGTGTTTGTGCATTGTGATGTATATTAAATACAAAGCTTTTCATCAACACTCCTTAAATGAGTCCATCCCGTTAAAAGAAATCACTTTTTGCCCAAGTGTGATCAACAAAATATAAACTTTACTAAATATTTAAGAAAAAATGTGCAGTCAAATTAATTGATGAAGAGATTTTTTTAAACTATTTTATTTAATGTACATGTTCTTTTGTGGAAAGTGAGACGGTCTGCTGAAGGAATATTTATAAAGTTGTGTTAAGTACATCCATCTGTGTGTGTGTGTGCGTGTGTTTGCAGGTTGGTGTGTGGGTTTTGCTCATGAGACAGGACAACAGATTTACAGGCCGGGTGTATTTTCACTTTTCTGATCAACCCTGATTAATAACAGTAATAATAACATAATGGGGTCGTCACATTATCTCAGTTAAACACAAGAGTCAGAAAAAGCTCTGATATACTCTGCTTTGCAAATACATTGTGAAGGAAATTTGGGAAAGGCAAGTTTATTTATATTTTCAACAAGTCAAGTGCTGCACATGAGACTTCCAAAACACTCAGAATAATATTACTGGAAGATATAGACAGATAATATATTACTTGCATTAAAGTGATTGTAACTCTTTTGGGGAATAGGTCAAAAACATTTTAAAAAAACAGTAGAAATCTTAAATGTTTGACCTTCTCATAGAGGTTTTTCATCTTCACTACATTCATGTTTCTGCTCGTCTACTATCAGATTATCACAGTTAAGCAGATTGCCTCATGATCAGAACATTCACCCTATCGTGAGATATGGGGTGATATATGAACTACAGTCCAGTTAGATTTTCCAAACTAATCACATCCCGGTCAGTTGGATATTTTGCTTTTGTCCCGGAGAGACAGTACGGATAGTCGCCCTTTCTCAAAATGTAAGAATAGAAGAAGCCTGAACATATTCACTCAACAGACACAAAGTCTTTAAAGCTAAAATGTGTTTGAGTCTGAGATATTAACCAGTGACATTATAGCTGTCGGTTTATTTATTTATAGTATTGTCATACATGCTGTCAAGTATTAGAAGTGTCACACATAAGTCTTCAGATATTTTAAAATGCCAGCCCAAGGTGTAAATTGTATTTTCAGGATGTCGTATTAAGACCTTTAGTAGCTGACACTGGAGTGCCTGCTCAATGTTCACTGTATTCATATCCACTTCATGGTCCATGATGCAGACCTCACAGCATGCTGCTGACAAACAACTCCACAGCACTGTGTTTTTTTTAGAACTGAACAATGTCACTGTGTTGTCTTCAACGTGCAGCTTCAGGCTGTGAACATGCATATGTTGTGAAAGCAAAGTTATCTCCACATACATGTTGTAGTTTCATTCAAAAGAAAACCAGACGATCCACAGTCACAGCGGATTTATGTGCCTATCCCTTGATGTTTGCTGTATCATCTTCCTGTAGGAGGTTTTAGTTTGCTCGTCATGTGAGTCTCGTCCCTTTAAAGAAAATGTACTCCAAATTCATCTGAGAGTGTATTCATGTAGTTTTGTGTCCTTCCAAATATATATTTTTTTGTTTCACGTAAATATGGCCTTAGAATTTATACTTAAGAAGCAGCAAGTGTGTGCTGTTTCTAGATATCTATGTGCTGCAAATGAAGAATAAAAACTGTTTTATACTGGCTAAAATGTACTTTTTTGTTTTTTTTTCTGATTTAGTTATTAAATAATCCTTTAGTAGATATCTTAATTATTCAAATCATTGTTTGATTATATTTTTAAAATCTAGATTACGATATGAATTATGATATGAATTATTTTATGAATTAAATTCTGTTTTGACTCTTTTCCAATAACTATTTAAAGAACAATAGGGCACAAAAGCTTCAGCAAAATAGACAGAAGCACGAAAGGGGGATTTATATAATATAATATAATATAATATAATATAATAGCGTATAAATGACATACAGTAAAGTATAAATGAAAGAATAGCCTACAACAATACGAAACAAATAAATAAATAATTAAAATAAATGAGAAAAATCAGTTCGGCGTCAGCGTTGCACTGTCGCCCATCTTACGTCATCAATGTTGGACTGTTTACATTGAGCATGGCGAGGCGCTGAAGTTGTATTCGCTTACTGTTTTGTTTTGGCCACTCTGCGTGTACCTGAGGGAGGATGACCATGGATATGACTTTCCTCGGGACCGGCTCGGCCTACCCGTCCCCTCACCGCGGGGCCTCGGCTCTGGTTCTGCGGACGGACGGGGAGTGTTGGCTGTTTGACTGCGGGGAGGGGACCCAGACCCAACTGATGAAGAGCCAGCTGCGAGCCGGTGAGTGAGGAGTTCCTCTCTTACCAATAACTTTAACTTTGTAACTTTGTTTTAGAATTAACCAGTCACAGTAGACCAACTTCTGAGAAGTTATCGTAAGAAAAACTACCCTTAATTCAACTTTTCATAAATTGTAACACACTCCGACTGCCCGAAACCGGAAAGTCCAGTTCAGTAAAGTTAGACATATTCACAGATCGTTTTCGTCACCGACTGTGAGCTACTTCCGGCTTGTCCTAAAAAACGAGTCTTCCTCATAGACTGTAAATATTGGTCTTCCTCCGAGTTGGACAATTTAGGAGCCCGGATGTGACTCACAGCTCAGGGACCGTCTGCAAACTACCACACCGAAAAAAAACAATGCTACAATAATATTAAATTATTTCATCATTTATAGGTTTAGTGTCAACATAAACACTTTACATGATCTCATGTTGTTTAATACTACATTTATCACTTTGAAAAAACATTCAAATTCATTGAGAAAATTTAAATAGAAATGACTTCTAATAAAATCACTTTTATGGTCATAATAATCGAATCACAAATACACTACTTCCTGCTCTTTAGACTACAGCGCTTGACTTTGGAAAATTCTCTTTTAAGTCATTACACTGTTACACCTCTTCCACAAGCCTTGTTTGATAATGTTTGTTGCTTGGATTAGTTTATAATAGTTATTTGTTTGATTAAGTTCATTGATTTTGGATTGATGTTGCTTTGTTTAAATAAATTCTGTTATCATTTAAGAGAGCAGTTGTTTGTGGTTACTGGTGTATTTGCGTTGTGATATAAGCTGGGTGCAAAGGCTTTGTGTACGGATTTCACGCCTTCAATTTATTAAATATAGTTATTAATTATTAATAATATTATTAATAATTAAATAACTAATTTGAGACTGATTTGAGTGATAGTTTGGTTATATTTCCCTGAGTACAGGGTGGTGCCCCGAGAGAGTATAAACATAGTTTTATGATATTGTTATTTATATTATTAATAATTAAATCTAATTATTAAAGAATATAACCAAAGTTGACTTGATACAACCCCAACATCATTTTGAAGTTTTTCAACAGTGATCATTTTAAATTAATTAACTAGTACAAGCTGTAAGGTCACAATCAAATACAGATAAGACATAAATTACTTTGATTAGTTTTACTACAACTCTTGACCTAAGGAAAAGGTACTTTTATAAAAAAAAATGTTGCATAGTAAAAGTACTTTATAACCTTACTGTTGTCTACAGAGCCACCAAACTCACCTTCACATAACTCATCTGGTCTTGGTTCTAAATGTTTGTAATGTGAATACAAATGTGATTACTCTGATTGGATAAGAGCGTTTCCATGAGTGCTGATATAGAAACAAGCGTAAGAGAATAATATCACTGAGACTTTTAACTGTTTGTACTGCTCCGCCGCATCCTGCTGTTACAGTTACTCAACATGATGACAGCAGTCAGTGAAAGTCTCTATTAATCAGTCTGACCGCAGATTACATTTTAAATTACTAAGTTACTTCCTCAAATATTTACCCATGATTAAGGGAACATCATATAACTGACACGAAGGTTTTAAAATGTATACTGCGGTCAAAATTCAAAACATTGGAGAGAGCTGGATGTTTCCTAAATGTCTGATGATTTTATGATTTAATTCAGAAGATATTTAACATGTTGGTCTTTTCATTTAAACAAAGTTCCCCCTGCTGTCTCTCATTCAGCACAGTGTGCAGTATCATATTTAATACCATGTTTTCTCTTCAGGTCGAATCACCAAGGTCTTCATCTCCCACTTGCATGGAGATCATCTGTTTGGCCTGCCTGGTCTTCTCTGCACTGTGAGCCTCAACACCAACCCAGACCCCCAGCAGAACCTCAACTGTGTGGAAATCTACGGGCCCCGGGGCCTCCGCCACTTTCTGAGGGTGACACTTGGCCTCACTGGATCCCAGCTGCTCTTTCCTTACGTAGGCAAGTCCAAAAGCACTCTTAAAACTTCTCCTAAGGCAAAATGAGCTGTGACAGGAAGCTGCAGAGTCAACAACAAGCTGCCACACATACAAACACAATAGAGAGAGATAAATATGAAACATTTACTTATTCAAACAGCAAATATTTGTCAAGATTGCCCACATCCATAAATACATCATTTAACTTCCTCTTAAAATCATCCAATGAGAGCGGCTCGTTAGGTTTCAGGTCTTGTTGTGATGTTTATTTTGTCTGTTGCTGCAGTTCACGAGCTGGAGCCCACAGAGGACCAGAGTCCAGAGGAGGGACAGCTCAGCCAAGAGGTAGACTATGAGACTGTTCTTGAACATGAATGATGTTGTTTGATGCAAAGTCGTCTGCACCAACATTTTGAAGTAGGTTTTATTTACGAGCTCATCCACTGTCAGTCGGTGTCAGTTTGACCTCTTATCACGCTTCATGTCATCAATTCTTTTCACTGCCGTCTGACATTATCCTGCTGTTGTCTTCTGCTTCATTTTCCACCAATCAATTTTTCACCTCTGTCTGCGCCACCCTGAGGAGTAATGAAGAGGTGAAGCGGGGGAGTCAAATTGTCAGAGAAATGGCAGTGTTGACATTTTTGAAATCCATATATCGGTATTTGGCACCATAAAATCTGAGTATTGTATCACTCAAGTCAGGACTTCGATATCTTGTTGTTTCAAGAGACAGGCTGAGAAATGTTTTCATTTTGGTCACCACATTTCTCTTGTAGATATTTTAGACGTTTGTCGATTTAGATTTATTTGCAGATGTGTTCCTCAGATCAGGAGCCCTCACAGTGTGACCCACTCTAGAGTTTGTGTTCTGCAGGTGACGGCGGATTACGGCCCTCTGCACCCTCAGGAGCGGCCGGGCAGGACCATCGCTCTGGACGTCTCGAGTGACTCTTACTTCCTGTTTGAAGACAAGAGGTTTGTGGTGAAGGCCTTCAGGTTGTTTCACCGCGTGCCCTCCTTTGGTTTTTGCGTCCACGAGCGAGATCGACCTGGAAGACTGAACACTGAGGTCCTGAAAGAACTAGGTAAATGCACTTGATGTCTTTTTTAAATTTCTTTTATCGTTATCTTTATTTATCTGGACAGTTTCCATGATAAAGAGGAAGAATGTGACAGCAGGTCATCTGAAGTAAAGTGTTTATTACATAACCCTAATGTTTAACAAATAGAAACCAAATGTTCTGCTACATATCCTTTTTTTTCTGATTTGCTGCCAAAACTTTTGACAATGAACTTTTTGAGGAAGATAAAGTGTGTGTTGTATTTCATTGTTCCCCAGGCTTGAGACCAGGACCTCTTTATGGGCGGCTGAAAGCTGGCGGGTCTATAACTCTGGAGAGTGGGCGTGTGGTTGAGCCGAGCGAGGTGATGGAAGAAGCCATCCCCGGGAGGAAAGTCTGTGTCCTAGGAGACTGCAGCTCAGTTCTCGGGGAGGGGCCGCTGAGTCTGTGCAGAGGAGCGGACATTCTGGTTCACGAGGCCACACTGGGGAACGAGCACAGAGAGAAAGCGGTGGACCACGGACACAGCACGCCGGACATGGCGGCGGCGGTGGCCCGGGCTTGCTGTGTCCGGAGGCTGGTGCTGTACCACTTCAGTCAGAGGTACAAACCCTGCTCCCTGCAGAGGGAGGGCGACGAGGACGACATGTCAGAGCTCAAGAGACAGGCTGAAGACGCTCTACAGGACAGCGGTGTAGAAGTGACTCTGGCTGAGGACTTCCTGACTTTACCCATTCCTCTCCGGAGATGAAGGACATGATGTACTGGTTTAGTGCTTCCATCAAAAAGAACAGCGGTCTGTTTACTGTGTTAGTGTACGGGGCACTTTGAAAGGTAAGCATGTTGAGTACACACCCATACATAACAAGCACACTTTGTTTTCATTCATTTAGGAATGCTAAATTAGCTTTACAATGAGCTAATCTTTTATAATCGATAATCTCTCATTAAAGGTAAATTGGCGAAACAATCTCAGCTCAAAGTCAAACTAACAGCTTCTAATGTTTCACCATCATCGTATGGAGCTCGGGCTCATGAAAGCGAGACCAAGATGTTTAAATGTTGAATGTTTCTGAGAACTTCTGAAGTGTCTTGTCCAGATTCTCTTTCAAATTGAGTTTGAAATTGAAAACTCAGCTCAAGGTCCACCTACTGGGGCGCTGGTGGTGCAGAGAGCGCGTGCCCCATGTATGGAGGCTGTAGTCCTCCAAGCGGGCGGTCCAGGTTCAAATCTGGAACTTTCCAACTCTATCCACTGTCCTATCTCTCTAATAAAAGCACAAATTGCTCCAAAAAAACTTTCTTATAAAAAAAAAAAGGTCCACCAACTGCCTTTAATCAACATCACACATCATCACCAGGGCCCAGTAGTTCAAATGTTTTATTCTGGATAAGAAGAATCTGGATTAGGAAATCCACTGTTCTTCTTTTTAAGTTAAGTTAATCAGGGGAAACTGGAAAGGATCAACCTGATACAGATACAGTGTTTCAGGGATTACTAAATCTGGATCACCAATTCTTTAAATGGAGGCTTCGTATTTTGACCACAGGGATATCAAAATCCCTCTGACCAAGTTCCTCACAGCCTATTTTTATGACATACTTCATGTTTCATATTCACAGCTATTTGGTGAAATATTTTATGGAGAGGAAAGCCTTCATTTTTTTCACAGACTAATGTCTACTTTATTCACTGTAACAACACAACTTTCAAGTGCAAAATATGATGACTACGTCTAAATTATCAACATAGTAAAAATATTTTACCTTCCTCTAATCAGCCTGATTATTCTATTCCAACTCTCAAGTTTAAACTCCACAAACTGGAGATTTTATCCAGATAAAAACATAAGATTGGATTACCCGACCTGTTGATCTTAATCTTTGGAACAATCTGATTTCTAGAGTTGATCCTACTCGATGACTTTAATCTGAACAAATCACTCTAGAACAATTGGGCACTCGATTGAAAGAGATGCACGGTGTAGCTCAACTGGAAGAGTTTCTTTTTTAAGTTATGAACCTCTTCCTGCTTCTCTGCAAAACATCATCATGCTGAAGGAGGTTATACAGCGATTGTGCTGCAAACTCCAGAACAAAGAAGTCAGTGGAAATATGCTGACATCATTTTTTCCTCAGAAGTTGTACTGATTGTAATCTGTTTCTATCAAGCTGCAGTTTCTTCACTCTACAGTCTTCTATTTTCTGTCAGCTTACATTACAAACACTTGGTGCTGAAACCAGAACTGTTCAAACTGAATGGTTTTTTTTTCTTCTTTTACATTTTCAGTGTGAATAAATAAATAATAAATAAAGAACATGTGATCAATTGTGAACCTTTTCCAGAGCTTTATTTCTGGATCTGTACACAAGGTATTAAAGTACAACAGAAAATACAAAATAATGTTTAACAAAAGAAAAAAAAACAACTCAATGTTTATGTACAATTCTTATAAACAATAAAGATAGCTTCTTGAACATTTCTCATAGTGAAGATTTTGATTGTCTATATTTCTGGATATACATTTTTACGTTTTGTAGGTTTTTATTTTACAAAGGTGTTCTTGTTTTCATCAAAGGATTTGAGTTTTTTTTTTCTTTTTTCAAAACCACAACTGCTATTATGTTTTTTTTCCTTTTTAAACTTCAAAACACAATACAAAATATAAAATAAATTTGTTTAGTGCTTGTTTGCACACACAAGTCTCATACCAGAGAGGTCAATAAAATATCACATTTTTGAGAATTCACAGGGTGGTGAAAAACCTACTTCTACTACTTAATGGCCTTTACATTCGGACAGTTTTTCTGAGTCTTTGTACAAACCACAGGTGAAATAAATATCACTGCTAAAGCTAGAAGAGCTTGGAGGACCTACTGCATTATGCACGTTGCATTCAAAGAGAAACTAGCTCTCCACATACTCAGAGCAGCAGCCATCCCTTTACCATCGAGACAAATATAGACGACAACATGTAAATAGAGTTTGTTTTTTGTTTTTTAAAGAAAAGATAGATGAGCGTCTTTTACACATGGCTGCGAGTTGTGAATGCAAATTTGCAACACTGAGTTAATATCAATACGTCTTCAAGTGAAGCCGTTTTTTTCAGTGGTGCACTCGAGAAAAGGGACCCAGCTGGCATGCATGGTTTCAGCCGAGTCCTGGGGATCGTGACTTTCCAAAGAGAGAAAAATAATTCAAACACCAAGTCAACCAGGTAAAATTCAAACCCCAAAAATATCTGTACATATCTACAAATTATTGCCTTTTGACAAGGAATCAAATTAAAACCTTTGTATGGACACAGATTCACAAGTGTAAGAGGTCAGTTGATAGACTTTTTAAAGGCTATTTGCTAATTATTTACATGAAAAGCAGAAGTGAATCTCTTCTCGGACGCTGGGCGTGGAAAATTAATGACTTGATCAAAAAAAAAAAAAAAAAAAAAAATCAATGATGATTTCTCTGCATGACTCCCGCCTGTACACACATAAAGGTGATTCACTAAACCTAAGGACATGACAAACATGATGCACCCCTGAAACAAACTAATTATTCATAGCACAATGCATAGATAACTTAAGTAAACACTACTACTGCATCCAATCAAACTGACGAAAAGACCGCTTTACATTTTACAATTCACAATGGTGGACTTCAGTCAAGACAAACAGCCCCATTTCTGCTATGACACCCCAAGAAACGGTGGGTCCGACTATATAAAGTTTCCCCTGTTATGTTAGGCAGAGATTAAATACGAAAACAGAGTGGCTTTAAATAAAGACATAATACTGCTAACGGTTTACCCAAGCTCGCTAAGTGGTCTGAAAGTGGCAAAAGTTAATTTAGGAGCTTTTTTTTGTTTTTTAATACTACAACTAAAGGACATGCACAGTTCATGGGTGTTCAAAGATTCAACAAAATCTCACAAAATGGTCAAAATAATAAATACATCATTTCTGGTGCCTGATGATACGTTTGTTTACGTTAACCCAACTTCCATCTCTGCATCGTTATATGGCTGTTACGGTTTGCTTGCCTGACTAATGTCCTGTTGGGGAACAAAGGATCTGAAGAATCATATCAAACTGTGAAACAAGTTGACTTCCATTATCTTTTTGTGCACAGGTTTTCATTTGTTGTCACCTGTTTGAACCAGGGTCTAGAATTGAGGTTTGACTACATGTGATATATATATATATAAAAAAAGAACTGTTGCAAACATTAAAATGTTCCAGTTTGGCAACTCAGAAGATTTAAGAAGTAAACAAGCAGACAAACTACAGACAAGCTTCCACAGGAGAAAAGAAAAAAGGAAAGGACGTGGAACGCGTTAGCAGCTGAAGCCGAACACTTCCTGGAATCTGAGCTAATCTCCACGCTAGTGTTGCTCTTCATACAAAGTCTAGCCAGGTCTAATAAGGAGTCAATTAAACCATGTGCACCAGCCTGGATACTAAACAGTACCTGTAAACCAAACACTAGTTTAAGTTAATGAAAGTACCACTTCAAACTAAAAAGACAAGCAACTAAACACGAACACTAGAGGCAGAAAACGTTGCCAACTTTGGCAGCTGGAAAGAATGGCAGGATAACATACTGTAGATGTTGTGTGTAGCTGTGAGGGAGGAAGACACACAACCCTCCTACTGCAGCCTCTGGGCCCCACTGTACATGGACGTTACACATCCCAAGACCGCGCAAACCAAAAATAAAATAAATGGCTATATAAACTCTTGAGAGAAATCAAGATTTTAGTTCTATATGATAGACATCACTGATGTCATATTACACAAGAAAATGAAAACAAAAAGTATATTCATATACATATATATAGATATATATATATATATAATAGAATTTAAACAAATCAAATTCTCCAGTGAGGTCAGTCTTATGTACACGCAGGATGAGGGGTCTTAAAAGGGAAGACGACGAGATCACTCTGACTGAAGTGCTGCAGTGTGCTGTGTGTGGTGCCGTGCGTGTGCTCCCAGAAACCCGTTGGGCTCCCCGCTGCCAGCCAAGCTCCCAAAGTCTGTGACAGACACTGCCATTTTGGCGCCAGTGATTCTGTGGTGGTGTGTCGCTGTCCGTCGTGCTTCGAAGTCCACTCCGAGGTTACCCACTGACACGTCATTGATAAAGGAGTCAGGGAGGGCCATCTTGAGTCTTTTGGAGGGCCGTTCGCAGTCCTTGTTGACGCACACTGCTCCTAGCTCGGAGTGGTAGAGCATGTTGAGACAGTCGGGGTCTGCTCCGTTAGAAGGGAACCCGAGGGACTCTTCGTGGTTCAGGGACCCGCGGTGGAGACTTTCCAGGGGAGGAAAGCTGTAGGAGTCCAGACAGCTCACCTCTGCAGGGCTGCACACGGTTGCCACGGTGTTACTCAAGGCTGCAAGGAAACAGGATGCTTAATTAACATTTAACTGAAAACCGTAAGATGCTTGGGTCAACACACCAAGGGGGCGGGAGAACTACAGGACACAGACAAATGAACAACATCCCCATTCGAAAAGTCTTCCTTAGGCCGGAGATATACTTGCTTTTTATCCTTTGTATTTGAGTACGCAACCAGCTGCGGCATGAGCGTAACTGTTCACATACTTGGCTATGCACTGTGCGTGTTACTGGAGGATACCTCTAGGGGGCACAAAAAGGTGATTCAAAGACCAAACATGCTCTGAGTGTTTAAAAACACATATTCCAGATCTTACTTCCTGAATGGAACAAGAACAAAGACTGGACTGGATGTCATTTCAATGCAGTAATGAGCAAACTACAGACATGGGGGACACCGACTCTGTCGCGTCTGCCTCTACACGGACCCTACGGTTCATGTGCATGATGCAACTTGCGGTCGTGTTAAATTTGGAGCATGTGAACTACCAAACAGCTGTAGAGGACGCGAGGCAGACATCATACACACGTGTTAAAAGCAAGAATATCTCTGGCCTTAGTGTAGTCAAGTTATTCTTATCAAGGTTTTTCCATAACTGCAGGACTAAGTCTCGTTTCTGACCTGTGAGATCGCTTGCAGTGATGGAGTTGAGCAGGCTGAGCTGTTGGTCCGTGGTGGTCTCCAGCCTACCTCCTCCACCTGCTCCAGAACACACAGAGGAGGAGCTGTCCACTGCCAGTCCCTCCGCCTCATCCACCAGCCGGTCCATCAGGTCGCTGGATAGAAGAACACATGATTGACTGTTAGCGTCTTCCAAATTAAACACACATGATTAACAAAGGAATGTAAACACATACACTGAATGTTTTGGTCACTTACGTTACACCCGGATAACTGCTGTACTTTTTCTTCCCAAACCGATTCTGCTGCACAAAGAAGTCAAAGCGCTCCGACTTTTTCCACATGTAGTAAAACGCCACACACTCAGCAACTGTTCGCGTTGAGACCTGAGGAAGAAGAAGGATTTGTTGAAAACCGTTCACAACTATACATGCTCGTGTTTGGAACAGGCGAATAAAAAAAAACGAGACTCACTTTATGTTTCTGTATGAGGTGAAAGTTCTTGTCGTACATCTGTAGTGCATGTTCAAAGTTCTTACATTCCTCTTCTGACCACGGGGGTGATTTTTCTGAAACAAAACCCACAAGTTCTCATTACAACAAAAGTTAAAACACATGATGGAAAACTACAGCGCACTAAAAATGATGACGATACAAAGGGGAGGTTACATACAATGTCAAGTTGTATATTAGTGGGACCAATAATTGTTGTATTATTATAAACTTAAGCAGTGCGTCAATTAGACTTCATTTTAATACAACTTTCTGTAGTTTAGAGTATCGAATGGTTATTGTTGATGTGTTTATAACAAAGTAACGTTTCTGTTTATGCTTCTATTTATCACTTAAACAAGCAAACACTTTGAAGATAAATGAAATCGATCACAGATGTGACTCCAGCTGCTCTTAAATAAAAAAAGATGAGAAGAAACTGAATCACCTAACGTTTGGTGGAAAAAAGCGAACACTGAACAGAAAAAAGTTAAAGCGACAGATTGTAAGACCTGAGTGAGTATGTTATGCTTTGCAGGTTCTTTGAAATACCTACACGGTTTGCTTAACAACTATGAAAGTTCCAAGGCACACTTGGAAATGTTTTACTGGTGATCGTAGCCACTTTAGCTGGCACAAATAATACATGAAAATGTCCATATTAACCTCAGATGGTTCCACTATTTAAGAATTTAACTTATAAATTGAGGATTGTACCAAAGCTGAGATTTTGTTTTGACACAATGAGCAAACTGGATGCAATACTTTTGCAACTGCAACATTAAAGTTGCTTGCACATAGCTCTGTGTATATATATATATATATATATATATATTTATTTCTCGTTTACTGCATATAGTTCTGGTTACATCTGTTTACATCTGTTTACATCTGTTAGTCCGATCACTGTCCACTTATATCTACTCTTTTTATATTTTGTATTTTTAAGTTAAGTTTAAGCTTTAAGTTGTATTTAAATTGACACTTTATATTTAAGTTAAAATGTTTCGTTTACTTGCACTGTTGTTAATTTACTGCTCTGTGTGCCTTTGAATTGCCCCCCGGGGACAAAAAGTTTTTTGAATTGAATTTCTTTTAAATGACAAGTCTTGCATTAAGTGTAAATGATATCATCCTACAGACAACATGAAGAAGCTGATTCCTTTTCTTACCTTTGTTGGACTTCACACGGCTGCAGTATCTCTCTAGAGCTTCACGAGTGTTGTAGTTGCACTTCACAAGCTCGTGCAGAGCCTGAAGGGACAGAGAGGACGGTCAAAGCTGGGAATAAGCTCAAATACATTTCTAATACTGCGCTCAGTTGTGTGTAACCACATAAAAGGCTTTATTAATAAAGTCATGGACTGACCTGCTCATTGTCTCGTATGTGCGTCCCTGGTTTATCACAGCCCGCCTTTTCATCTGTGGTCCGTGACAACACGTCCGACAGAAAACTCCTAACCTTGTTTTCTGCTAATGTACCTGGGCTCCATAATAACTCATCATCATCTTCATACACTGAAAAACAGAGTACATTACAGTTAGATGGCTCTCCTGTTCCTGTATTCATTGTTGGGATTAAAAGACACCTGTTGAACACAAAAAGGAAGAGTTACCTTTCTCCCCATCTTTGTAGTGACAGAGGCAAGAAGGCACCTCTGCTTGGTACTGTGTTCCCACCATTATTTCCTACAATCAGAACAGAACATTAGAGCATGTAGAGAAAACTACTATGGAGGAAGTTCTACACAAACCAAAGAGCACTTGTGACCCATCTCAAACTGAAATGAGTGGTTTACCTTCCTGGAGTCCTCTGGGCTCGGGCCATCATCATCACACTCGGACTCTTTATCGCCGTCAGAGATAGCGTTGGCTGACAAAACAAAGAAAAGAAAAACTGTTAAAAGGGACACAATTGCTTAAGGCAATGTCATACATTGCAACATGTTGTAGTCATAGTGCTTACTAAACCAAACAGCATACTTTATGGGGGGGGGGGGTTACTTTACTTTATAAGATTTTGTAAGATGAGAAAGTCTAACTTAAACCATGTTCTACTTGTAAATACTGACTTGTTAAAGACATTAAAGTAAGACTTTGCTCTAATGTTTCAGAATGCAGCAAAATCATATTACTGGCAATTATCTGAAAATACACACAAATGTTTTTGAAGTTTCACATTCCTGTGGCTGTAGAAAATAAATATCGGTGTTGAAATATAACTCAAAAGTTGTTGTTTTTTTAAACTAAACTATTCTTGAATTATTTATTTGTATAAATTGCATTTTAGAACTTGGGAAGAAAAAAAATTGTAATTCTGAAAAGCTGGTCTAACAATTCTTATTTGTGAAGAAAAGGAGCTTTAATTTGTCTCATCGTGTGCTAAAAGGACTCTTCTCTTAGTTTTTGACTGTTTAGACAAGAAAAACCCATAAAATTATGTCTTTACTGGCACTAGATTCACTAATTTTAAGACATCTAAATGACATAATGACTAATGGATCAATATAAAAACAGATTAAAAACCTGTTACTTACATCGAAGCGTTCTTGGGAAGAAATCGGTAGCCTCATGGGAGGTGACAGAAGGGGTCAGATCATCCGCCGAGGACTGGGTCTCCTCCTCATAATCTCCAGACAGAAGGTCTTTGGCAATTTCCTCCTATTGAGACAGAAAAATAACCACTGAATACTGAGCAGCTAGTACAACACTATATCTGGATTACATATTTAATTAAATACTTAACCCTAATGACATTTACAAACTATATACCATCACCACATATTAAAGTTTATTTACCTTGTCCAAAGTCATGTCAGGCAGCTCATCTGTCAGGTCTCCAGAGGAGCTGTCTATACTGGAGCCTGCTGAGGCCTCATAGCGATAGATGGCCAAAAGTTCCTCCAAAGGCATGTTCCCCTCCTGGCAGAAAAAAGTAATTACATTAATTAAGTTAAGGCATTATGAATTTGCTCTGTATGATTGAAAAACACTGCAAATTTCGCTTACAAAATCAACGATGCATGTAAACTTTTCTTTGCATGAATGCAGATTTTTTTTTTTTTTAAATCTCTGCATATTAGTTCACCTTTTCCAGATCTGCAATCTCAGAGCGGAAATTCCCCCCTCCCTCCAGAGACTCTTCCTCCTCCAGAGTCCTCTCGTCATCGTACTCATGAACTAACATTTCTGCCGTTGGGTCGAAGTCATGGTCCTCTGACGATAAAGAGCCAACTGAGTGAAGGAAAGAAACACAAACAGACGTTTATGAGCACAAGAATGAACTAGTGATGCTCTGAAAACTAATAATTCACAACCATCAAGAAACATTTTTTTAAATGACAACTTTTTCAAAATGAAATGTAAGATCTCTAAAATAAGACTATAATAAAACATTTATCATAATTGTGTTACTTGTTTAAAAAAAATAAAAAAACATGCATGTTCTTATTCGTTTCACATATTGTACAACTATATAATATCTTGTAATTATAATACTAAAGTTTATAGTTTCTTACCTGGACTTGAACTCCCTAGGGAAGCCTGCAAAAGACAAAAATCAGAACATAAACGACTGCAATGGTTGAAACTCGGGCTCAACAACATCAGCTATCGGCTTAACATTAAAGAGACAGTACAGCTCAGTGATGTAAAATGCATTTAATAATCTGAATTGTGACCAACTCCTGGGCTGTGGAGCTGCAGACACCGCTAACGTTACCTGGAATAGGTGGCTAAAACAATCTTTGCAGAGAATAAAAGCTATACACTTGGATTTTTCGTAAAAAAAAAATTAAAAAAAAATCCTGGTAGTAAGATGAAATCCTTTCCTAAAAGACCATCATATAGACACGATTATATGTCAGGGGGATAGTGCGATTAACGCAGTGTCGGCTCTTGTAAGTGTTAGCTCGCCAGCAGGCTAACCTACAGTTCAGGCTCGGCAGCGACAAAATGTAAACACTTAATTTATTTTGCGCGGCACCGCAATCGACAGACTCTCACACAATCAACAGAATACGTGCCACTTATTTTAGACTCAACAGAGAAAAAAATGATTTTCATTCACATAACACACGGAATAAAGTGTTATTTCCTTTTTACCAGCGAGCTAACGTTAAATTTACGTTTCAATTTACACCGGAGCAGCTGAGAGAGTCGACGGCGCAGCGGCCTCGCAGTGAAGGATCAGTCCGGGCGTTCAAGCTTTTTTTTAGGCATTAAAACGCACAACCGTGACACAAAACACGCCGCACACAAGGCAAAAACTATTACGTCTCCAATCGATAACACAAAAATTAAAACTACAACACAAATTGTCTAAAAATGTCGACTTAAGATCGATTGCTTCTCCCCTGTTTTCCCTCTTACCTCCGCCATATTGGTACCTTTAGCTAATGGGCTCTTTCTCGCGCAGTACCCGGATCAGCTGGCTGAGCCAATCAGAGCTCCAGGTGACCGTCGTAGTCGTGACGCCGGTTTAAACCAACCACTGATCAGACTCACTGGAATCGTTTTTCACTCGGTTAATCTAGAGGATAAAAAAAAATAGGCTGCTCGTTTTTTAAAATTCGAGATTAAATGAAATCCCAAACATATAGACTACATGGTTTAACATGGGATTGAGTATGTTTAAATCTAAAGAGTGACATTTAACTGGAAGCTTCCCAGAACATCCCCAGCTGATTTCCTCTTTCTTACCAGCAGCGGAGACTGTTCACTGCTGCGAAGGGAATTTAAAAGAAATGTTTGTTTAACAGTGTTGACATTCAATTTTCTTAACTAAATTATTATTATTATTATTGTGGATCCATACCTTCAATTAAAACGGGAGGTCCCATTCCATAGGATGTTCTTATAAAGCTATTACTCTCACATAATGACATAAGCTTCATTAGATTAATTTTACTTATACCAATGTACGAATTGGAGTCTGTCAACATAATTAACAATTGAGCATTTATTACCTAGATATATGGTAAACAATTTCACCAGGAAGTAGCCTCCAGTCTCTCTTTAGCATGTTTTTGTTCACTTGTGTTTTTTTAATGAATTACAGCAGTTTTTTAGCCTATTAAATCATTAAGACTGGCTTCAAAGCAAAATTCAGGACTGTTCCCAGTTTTCTTATTTTATTCAAAAGTCAACACATTTATTTGCCTGGTAGGCAGAGGTTCGTTTGAAGATATAGCCTAGTTAATTGTTTTTGTTATTTTTTTTGCATTCAGAAGAAAATTATTCCAGTTTTCTAAACGTTCAACTGACTGATGCTTATAATCTCTGTCTTTGGTTAATTAATTTCAGTAAATCCATCAGTATCATTAATAAGTACTCTAAACACTGTGAATAAAAATATGAATTATACCTTTAAGGCACAGTTGAATAATTCAGAAATCATCATCAGAAATGAACATTATTTGAAACAAGTTTTTGAGTGTGAGCTTACTGGCCAGCAGAGGGCAAAAGTACTCTTTAGAAGAATCCACTACAGAGCCTTTCCGTGTTACCCTCCTCCTCCTTTCTGAGAGGATCTGGAAATATTGATACTTTCAAACGGAAACTAAAGACTATTCAGTCTGGCTTTTATGTAGGTATTTAATCTTCTTCACTCTTTTATTATCTTAAATATTTAAATTGTTGTAAATCTTTAACAATTTGTTCAACTCTTTACCTTTAATTGTTTTAATTTCATTTTTATTGCTTTTTTATTGCTATTTGTGCGCATTAGTGTCTACGTCTAAATCCATTTTTGTTCGTATCATCTTTTGGTGCTGCTTCTGTTGAGAATGTCATACTGAATTATGTTGTAGACTACTACAATGACAAATAAACTTCCTCAATCCTTGTTTAATAACGTATATTTTACTGCTATTGGTGTGCATTAGTCTCTACTTCTAAATCCATTTGTATTGTTACCATGATTTGTCTTTTTTTTGTCTATTTTATGGTTTTTCACCTGTTTTTCAGTCGCTGTAAAGCACTTTGAAATGCATTTCATTTGTATGAACAGTGGTATATAAATAAAGCTTGATTGATTTTACTTGCTGTGGTGGATCACTGAAACCTCAGTATGTTTGATCATACAGAAACATGTAAAACAGGCTGTCTGTGCAAGCAGCTTGACTTTCCTTGTGTACGCTTCACTACCAACAGATGTCCATCTAAGTAGTTTGTTTTTGTTGTGTGTTTTAGTTGTTTTTTTTAAGTCTTCAGTGTTATAGTTCCACAGAGTTTTATAGTGAACAGCAGTAGCTGGAGTACAGGTTCAAGGTGAGTCCTGTACACCAGCTGCTATGATTGGGGGATGTGCAGATGTTTGTGCACAGGGGCTTAGTGACAAACTGCTTCCTGTCTCATTATGATCTAGGACAGGAGGTGGGTGTCCACCCTGCAGCAAAACAGGAAGTTGTTCATGTGTTTTGAAATTGTTGAATTACTTTTTGTTTCCATTTTGTGCTCACAATTTTAAATAAACGAGTGAGTGTTGGGATCATCATGCTGCTTTCTTTTTCTAACAGAAGTGTACCTGCAGAGTCTAATTGCTTGATTGTGCTGTTGTGTTTTTTTTTATTTATAACTACAGTCCTTTATTTATAAATGTACAATAACCACACAGGTGCATTCATCAGATGGTGGGTGTTTGTGATGATTACATGTTTGTCACTGGAATCATACATGTGGTTTTTTTCACTTGCCACTGTAAGTATACACTACTATCCTTGGAAAACAGAATCCCCCATCAGGTGTAGGATGGCAGCGTGGGCTTTGTTTGGAGAACTCTGCAAACACATGAGTCACAGTGTTCAGACTGTTCAGAGGCACATCCCTCTACAGACCACCTCTGTTTAGGTCTTACTTCAGCTAATGTGGACAACCATTAAAGACCCTTAGTTGTATCAGATACAGTTAAACAGCAATTAATGCATGTAGTGTTTAGACTTTTAATAGCTAAGTTGAACAGCTGCCCAAGATTTCTTCCTCTCCTTTGAGTTGAAGCCGTTTACTGTTCGTGTGCAGACGTCCTTGTTTCTATATGGTGCAAAATAAGAGCAGCCACTACTTTCTGTCTCTCTCTAGCATTTGAAAGCTTATTTGAAGCCTACTTTACAGAACAATGTAGCCAGGAAGAAGTGGGCCCTCACCTAATGAGTGAATTTGTCAGGTCAACAAGTTATCCTGTGACGTACATGATGCGAGATGGGTGACAGAGGGTCACACTCCATTGTTACAGCGTAAAACGGATGTGGCTGATTAACACCGGCCAACACCTACACTGCTTGTGTGATTTTCCAGCAACTGCCCACTCAGCTGATGTGCTGTGAGAGGGACTGAGCATCAGGAAACCCATTGTAAAACTAATAACCTCCTCATGATTATCAATTATGTTACGGTTGGAAATGGACATCAGCTGTTTTTATTAATTATTGTTTGTATGACAAATTACTGAAGGGTATTGCACTTAATGAACTGCATGTTTTAAAAACTCTTGGGGTATTTCATGTTGTAAATGGTGAAAACATAAAGTGTTATTTAACAATGAATCGCTACATATACGTAATAAGGAAGGAACCAAGTCACACTGTTAGAATACAATAGTTGAAAAACCTTTTCTCCTCTTCATGAGGTACTTAATTTAAGAGATGTACGACACTATACGAACTTGTTCTGATGAGCTCATGTCTCGATCAGCACACACAGTGCGGGGGTGAACTTTTTCATTACTCATCACTTTTGATTTTATGAAGGATGAGCAGTATTCACAATAAGGCGTGTAGCTGACCTGATTGACAGGCGGGTTGGGTGTAACAGTATGTAAAGAGGCTTAAGACCTACCTCAGCTCCAGCTTTAAGCCTTTCGTTATGCTGACTGAAAGTAAGCTTGAGACAGCATTTCCAGCATGGTGACAGCTATCGATGGGACACCAAGGCCCCCTGCCGTAACAGATGGGTGACATCACTCAGGCTTCCTCCAGTAATATTTACGGTCTATAGATGGGTTAGACAATACTCTGTTCCAAAATAGTTTGTTCCTTCCTGATGTGATACAACAACTTTGAGTATTTGCCAATACCGACTAAACCGGCAATATCCTGTTTTTAAAAAGCATACATATAGTTATTGAACAAGTACTTATGGCTGACATTTTTTGGGATTGCATGGTGTCAGATCACTACACTCACCTATACCTGATACTGCATTTTATTGCCCTCTCTTAAACTTCTTTATGCATGTGAAGGCTGGATGTTTTAGCTAATACTTAAAGGTTTACATCCACTATGAACATTTATTGTCAATATAAATATTTCAGTCATACTGATCATATCTATTTTCCTTTTTGGGAATTTACAGAAGAAGAGGTACTTCATTCATTACTTAACATAAGTAAAAAGATTTCTATAGGGGAGGATAAAGTAGACCCACGTCTCCTGCCGTGCCACTGATTTTCTAGGCCAGTCGCTCATATTTTTAATTTATCTCTTTTAAGTGGAACTATTCCCAAAGTCTGGAAAGCTGCAAATGTCTTGCCACTACATAAAGGGGAAGACCAAAGTGAGAACACCAGGGGTCTATCCTGGGACCACTTCTATTTGCATTGTATATTAATGACGGTACAGATAAAATAAAACACTGTAAAACTAATTTGCTGATTGTACCATTTTATATATTTCTGCGCCTTTATATAGTCAAGTTCTGTCGCAGTTGCAGACTGATCTTAACTCATTCCAACAAGCTCTGGGTTGGTCTAAAACCAATCTAAAACCCACAAACATCAAATACATTGTTTTCTCAATGAAGAACATTGAACCCATTGATGTTAACTTGTCCACTCTAAACAATGTAATCATTGAAAGTGTTTAACATCTCAAGGATTGTCTTTTAAGTCATACATTTTAAAAATAAGGCCTAAATTAAGGTTTATTTAAATTAATAAGTCTTGCATAACAGCAAGAAATACAAAAAAGCCATTGGATGAATCTTTGTTTTATCACAGGTCATTTTTCATACTCACCATTGTGACCTAAAGTATATCAGTCTTGGCTGGCCCTTGTTGGGTCAACGTAGTAGAAAGCTGCACAGTATTCTGTTTGTTTATAGGGCACTCATTAGTTAAATCCATTCTTCTCTGACTTCTCTTCCGTCTACAAATTTCTCAATCCAAACAACCAGATCTGAAAATGGGGTCACTTTAAAAATACCAAGGATTAGGACTGAATGGAGAAAGACTGCGATTAGTGTTGCTGCACCTGTTATGGGGAACAGTTTTCAGATGATGGTTAAATTGCATCCTCTTGTATCATATACCATTTTTTAAAGAGCTAGAACTCTTTTATTGTATTGCTGCACTGCAACCCTCAAAAAGAGACCTCGGTCTCAATTGGTTCTCTCTGTTAAAATAAAGGATA